ATTCACCTTCAGACTTCCCCATTTATCATATGTTCTGTCCATGGTATTATAAACATTCATTTGTAGAAACACATCTGTTTTTTTTTTTGGGGGGGGGGTCCACTTGTGACAAAAATTCCAGTTTTCATTGTCATATAAGTCAGTAGACATTACATAATAGACCAACACACTTATCTTCATTTCTCCAAGGAAGTGTTGAAAAGTTCTATTTGATCAAAAATGGATTTAAAAAAATGAAATAATTCTGTTCGGTCAGATTTAGAGAAGTGGAACAGATTGCAAACTTTTCAGCATCCACTGTCATGTTATTTTTTAGTTCCTTAGTAGCTTACACTATTTCTGAGAAGTATCTTTCACTATTTCTCCGTGTCTTCGAATCTGCATCACACTTTCTATCATCAGTTATTACAGCACCCAGATAGTTGAATTTCCATATTTTATTATGACATTCTCGATGTGTAATTCACCATTTTGCTAACCACCATTCTATCTTCTTACAATTTGTACAGTATCTTCTGCAACTTGCATGTTGTTAATAAATCCTGGTCAGTTCTTTAATTCTCTTGAATCATCTCACTATACAAGTAAAATAAATTTGATGAGAAAACACACCTTTGTAATACCTTCAAATATTAAAAAAAAAAAAAAAAAAAATCTTACCTCAGCATTAAGATTGTCAGTTAAGCTTGCAATAAACTGACTTTCAATTGGATTTTGTCGTGTTATAAGAGATAAATAGTGTGCCAATTTATCATGGGTTGATATGATTGTTCCATGACCAAAAGTATCAAACTGAGGTCGACCAGCACGGCCAAATATCTGCAGAACGTCTAAGATTCCTAAATCTATGAAGGATCCTTTTTTAGCATCATAAATCTGTGTTCCCTGTAAAAAAAAAAAAATATTGGTGAAAAAAGATGCTCAAAATAATTTGAAACATTAGCATTTTCTTATTTAATGAAATATTTGAATTTTGACATTGTAAAAGAAGTTTGAAAGAATAGAACTTAGATAAAACAAGGTGTAGATAGAACCAAACACAGGTAAGTCTGCAGTTGGATTGGCTTTCAGTGAAGGGATAAATAAAGCAGTTTTATATCTCATTTATATAAGATAATAATAATATATCTTCAATGGCTACACTTAAATTTAAAATTATAACTAACACTTTTTGCAAAAGTTTGTCTGACCTTATACTTTCAACATTTAACTGATGGAAGAATAAAATGTTCTGCTTGGTACAAAATGTACAACTGGTATGAATAGTATGACTAGATGGATATTTTATATATATATATATATATATATATATATATATATATATATGTATGTATGTATTAATTTTAAGGTATGCTATATTTATGAATTAAAGCGCTCAATATGAGGAATATAACATGTAAATATAAAAGTGGACATTGAAGTCAACATGCAGAGGTAACAGTCTGTTTCATGTTAAACACAATTGTCAGGTCATGACAATTGCGTTTAGCATGAAACAGACAGGGTGTTGGCATTAATGTCCACTCACATACAGATATATATATATATATATATATAGTGTGCATTTAGGCAGCATTTTTTCATTAATGCAAAAACAGACTATCATTGTTGCTATCCAAGTATTGTTTAATTTATTGTAATGTACTTGTCATCTCTCATGATGGCTTATGTAAGCCAAAAGCTTAGATAGGATTAAAAAACATATCAATATGGTGATTTTTTTTGTCCTTAATAATGCTATTAAGCTTATCAGACGATATGAAAGGAATTTGCTTAAAATAAATAGACAAAACTTGTCTATATTATTTAATGAAACATGCATTTATATATATATATATATATTACATTTTATATGTAGTTGTGGATATTCACAAATTAAATTTTATTTCTTAAATAGATTGTCTTTCATTTGTCATCTAATTACACACAAGTAAAAATGTTAATATTTTGGGCAAGTGAAACTGATTAAACATGTTTCCCAAAGTTGATCAATAATGATACTAAGTAGAAACATTAAACTATTTTCATTGAACCTTTGTATTGATAAATAAATTTCATTTTACTTTACTTAAAAATACCTCTCAAATTTAATAAATACCAACCTTAATGATGACAGCATGTGCTGGCAAGTTTACTCCCCAGGCTAAAGTGGCAGTGCACACCAACACTTTGATGAGTCCTTCTGCAAAGAATTTTTCCATCAGATTTCGATCTTGTCGAAGCATTCCAGCATGATGGATACCAAAACCATCTGGAAACAATTCTTGAAGCTGCCGATTTCGGGAGTTTTGAGCCTATCAAAATTTAAAAAAAAAATAAAAATTAAACATGCAATTATAATGTCTTTATCTCCAGAATACCTTATCAAAATTCTGTATCCATTTTAATCATACATTCTTAATTATGACATATGATTATATGTATCCATTTTAAATTATGGATCAAAGGGGAGATATCACAGAATATGTGAAAAGAGGAAATTAAATTGATATGGAGCTGTTAGTTGGGCTATCAGCTATTTAACTGTCACATCAGAGTGCTTTGTTTACCATAATCCTTTCCAAATGGCCTAGTCAGATATGGCCAACCAAATCTAATAATACCAATTCACTATAAATGGATACTGAAGCTGCCAGGAAAACATGTAATGGTGACATGCTTCAAAATTAGTGATTTCGTAATTTTTTTTTTTTTTTTTTGATAGATGATTGAATTTTATTGTATTCAGTTTTCATGGAAACAACCAAAATCAGATATTCAAGTAAAAATACTTCTCCCATATCCTGAGCATAATCCCTGCCACAAAATAAAAGGTATAGCAGGGTGAATATATGTGTATAAATCCAATTTAAATTTAACTGAAAACTGGCAAAATCTTAAAATAAATTCAGTTTGGGAAGAGTTAAAACAGAAAAGAGAAAATTACTTTATTGGCTTCTTTCTCTTCTCTCTCACCTTTCCTCTTTAATAAGATGGCAATTCAGTATTACAAAACTTAGAATAGGTTATCATTTTGACTCACAAAAACACTTTCACAAGAATAAGGATATTGATTTTTTACTAATATTCTTTTACACTATTGTCCTCTTTTTTTATTGCATTTGTTATATGATTCTTGTCAGTTGTTACCACATTGTTGACATCTGTTCATCTCAGAAGATGGTGTAGCACAGTAAGTTTGAGTGGGGCTAGAGAGATTCTCATCTCTGTACTGCCAGTAGAATCCAAAGAAAAGGATAAACCAATTTGGCATTGACACAGGAGTAGTTGTTGAAAGGTGACACAATACACCATCCACTCCAGATTTATGTCACACTTACATGTTTGCCTTCTTTTCACTGTGGTGAGGGTTAGGGTTAGAATTCAGTTTTTCTTCTCCTAGACTGGCTGCCACTCAAAGCAAGAGATTCCAGTCTGCTCTGCTATTTGATCTACAGCTAAAGGAAGCTGGATCCATAAACATTAGTACAAAGTGAATGAAACCAACTTGGTCAGAATTTGAAATAGGCATGCCAATTTCATTCTGCTAATAAACATTATGCTACCTACATATCCACAATGTCAATTTTAAATGTAGTCATATACCGCATGTATAAGACAACCTTTAGGGTGTCTCCTAATACAACAGTTACAAAAAAGCTAACCTTAAATCTGTGGTGTATCATCATCACTGGAAAGTAGACTAGTATGTTTGCGCCAAGAATTGTGGTAGACTAATAACTGCCTCTGTATGGTAACTACAAATGTAAATATTTCTAGTTGAAACAATTCACATTATAATGCTGTACTACAGTCATAAATGTAATAAAACTACTTTTATTTCTTGATTTTACTTTAAAAGGCAATATTCAAGTTCTGCTGAGTAACATATACAAATAACATAAATCTTTTGTTCTTGATTTGTAGAGTTATGGGTGCATTCATGCCATTCATTATTTCTTATTGGTTAAATAACAACATTTAGGATAACATACAATCTATATTTCAAATTAAAATTCATTATCATTGTGGTGTTAAATAACAACATTTAGGATAACATGCAACCATAATTTTTCAATAACATGTTATTCAGTATTTTTTGTGGTGTTAAGCATCAAAATATTTACGATGCCATAAAATCTTTATTTCACATTATGGAATACACAACTTTTGTTTTCATTCGTACGAGTTATAAACATTCCTGTGATTATTTTATTCCTTTTGATCTGATAAAGATAAAAGTAAGCAAAACAACATTTGTAATAACATCAACTTTATTTTATACTTATAGGAATCATAATAATAGGTCTAACTGCTACTGGTAGTGTAGGCTAACCAACATTTTCGGTTGTCTTATATTACACATAGCAGATATAATCAAAAATATTTACCTAGATTTTGGGTCTTGTCTTATATATAGGTAACATTATACATTGAAATATACAGTATATGCAAACTAATACCAATAAATAAGAATTTCATGCCTGGTCTATAAATATTTTTGAATTTTTAGTAACTATTTCTATTTTTTAAGCTAAACTTCATGCTATAACATTAAAAAAACTTTAGTTTTGTGAAATTGAATGTTTTTTAAATATCAGTTTGAATTTAAATTTAAACTAAATTAAAATTTTTTGAAAACCATTTCATTATATCAACAGACCATTTTTTTGAAAACCAAGTACTGTTTGTAACTAACTGCCTTTTAATATGGATAAAAAAAAAGGATTTACTAAATTTGAATCTATGTGAAATGGGTTATATTTTGTATTCATAATTCTACTAGTTAATGATTTTTTATGTTTTTGAATTAATGGCATTTCATTGATTTGGGTAGGTTTTAACAAGGTCATAGAAGTGAATGCCAAAATTTTGTGAAAAAAAAAAAAAAAAAAAAATTAAATAAAAACCTCCATCTGCAAAACACATATGAATTTGGCTAAAGAATACACCAAAACAAAGACAACAAAAGTTCCAAAAGTGGTAAGGAATGAAAAAAATTGAAAAAGAAAATAACTTACAGCTTTTTGAGCAATCCCCAAGTTTTTCCCTTGTGGAGCAAAAGAATGAATGTGGTCTTTGTTCTTGGCCATTTCTCGCAAAACCATTGCAGTACGAACAGTCTCATTTCGAGCATGAACAAACACCATCACCTAAAATCATACATTGAAGTTGCAATGAAGGACAGAAAAATACTATGTAATACTTAAATATCATAGGTTTATCCTAACAGCTAAAGATATATGTAATGGTAAAAACTGATTTTGAACAAATTATAACTCCCTATTATAGAAAGAAATTCTTAAATCAAATTTTAATACTATTTATTAAAATACTTGTGTACCCATGCTGTCAAAAATTCTGGTAATTGTTAGAAAGTTTTAATAATGAGCTGCAATAAAAAAGTTTTGAAACACTGTATTGAGATTCAAGAAAGTGGATATAAAGAGTTTACAACTAAAATACAGACCAATGAACCATTTAATTAATCTATTCCCTTTATATTTCTAAATATTCAATGGTATCTATGATTCCTTTATTACTCCTGGTATTGTATAAATCACATTGGTGCAATATCTTTTCATGTTAAAAATTTTCTAATATTAATATATAATTAATATTAACGGTTTAAATATAACGGTTAAATGGAAAATATCTCAGAAGAAAAATATAAGCAATAGAACAAAGATGACGATAAAGACGGCAATGACAAAGCCTTTTCCAAACCAAGTTGAAGCAAGATGATCACTTAATAGGCTAAGGTATCTGAGTACCTCACAGAATAGGCTTGAACAGATCAGACTGTAATCTAAAAAATGTAGGAGTAAAAGACCTGATTAATTAATGGTTCATTTTACATGGGAAATAATTTTGTCTAAATGCACATAAATATTTTATTTGTATAGATTATTAAAACAATTAAGAAAAGTAATCACTCATAAATTTGCTAATTTTAGTTGATTTACCTCCCTTCCCACTACAGGACAGGAAATATATAAATATACATTGTTAATTATTATTTGGTTTAATAAACCAAGACATAATTATCAAAAGATTGCTCTATTGACTACAAGTGACTCAGAACTCCCTTTTATAGATTGGTTGAATCTTTTATTTTTATTAAGATCATATTAATAATGAAAAATATAGAGAACAACAAAAAAACTGCCAGAGAAAACATAGATAACTACATGAAACAATAAAATACTGAAGCAGCTAGACTGACGCTTAGAAATATTATATTTTCAAAATATAATTAAAATATATTGATTAAATCCCATGACAAACTGTATCCAATCAATTATATTTTATGGCTAATTTTTCAAAACAGCACAATCCATTGAGACAAATTTTGTTCTTCAATTATAAAACAGACAAGTCAGTGATTTTATGATACACAACAAATGAAAAAAAACAAAGACTCCAGTTGTTAATTTATTTTTCTTTTGATTTGACACTTGCAAAAATAAATTTTAAAACATAAACTGATAAAATCAATTAAAACAGAATAATTCATAACAAAAACACTCACTTGATAGCCTTTTCGAACTTGATCTAGAACCTTCTCATAACAAACAGTGTTGAAATCTTGTAACTGCTGCATCTTTGAAGTGGTTTTAATACCTAAATAAAATTTAAAAAATTATCATTTGTCATTTAATTTGAAAATTCTCAAAACAAAGACACACTGTTTTACAGTATCAATTATACTATATTTTTTTTTCTGGAAATGAGTCTAAAAATTTAAACCATGCCCTGTAGGCTGAATAAGGTTATCTTCATTTTATATTTATTATTATTTTGTTTTTTTTTCAAAAATTTTTAGTCAAAAATTAGAAACATCCTCAACATAAAAAAATACAATAATCAATTCTATAACATAAAACACAATGTGACTGTATATATTTATCAGTCACACAGCCTGGCCTTCCTTACTTTCTAATGAAATATTCCACCTATTAAAGGAGCAAGAAACCAGAAGAAAGTTCCATAGGTGAGAAGAATCTATTGGAATAGAAATTATTTTTACATAAAGGATTATTTGAAAAACAATATAAATTCAATTGTATTTTAATGAGACAAATTAATTCTAAGTAAATCTGGAACATTTCTGTTATACCTCAGTTCAGATTTACAAAACCTACAACTAAATGTCTATCATTTAGTTGCTATACAAAGGTTTTATCTTGTACAGATACATAGCTCATATCTTCTTGTTAAAAGTAATCTATTTATATAAACCATTTTATTACCAATAAAATTTATTTAACAACTATGTCAAAATTTTTATTCACGCAAACAATTATATTAAGTGCTCTGAGAAATTTTCAGGATTGTACATACTGTAACTGATTATTTTTTTTGGCTTATCAACCTTTTACAAGTTATTTAAATCTAAAAAATATTTTTGGATTGCAAGAGTTTTTGAGAGATAATAATGATTTACTGATATTAAACCCTACTAATTAACCCATAGCTGGAGAGAGAAGAGTTAGATTAGGTTAGTGCCTTTCCCGATGGTATTTGTGCATAAGTGAATATAAACAAATCTGACTGGAATTGGGACTGATCTCTAATTGCCAGCCATTATCCATTATATGACCTGTACATCCAAGCTCCTGATATTCCCAAGTGGTCATCTATTTAGGTACTGACCAGGCTCAATGTTGCTTAACTTTGGTGATCAGGCAAAAACCAATGTTTCAATGTAATATGGCCATAAGCCATGCTGTAATTGTACCATTCAGTTAATACTCATTAGTACCTGACCTACTAAGTCAGGTCTTCCAATAGACTTTGTGCTATCTACTAGTGTTCACTTATTTGGTGGTGTTTTATCATGTATGCTTTGCTATCTTCTTAATGGCAGCCAAATTCAAGCAAAGTGCTTGCATCAGGTTTTGCATGAGACAAAATCTACTATCCAGATCTTTGAAATATTTTCTCAGGCTTTTGGCAAATATTCTTTAGGTCAAACATGGGTTTTTGAGTGACATGCACATTTCAAGGCCATCATTTCAATTTAGAGCTAAAGAAATCAATTAGAAAACAATCCAACTCAATCCATAAGACGTTTGACATGTGAGAGAGAAGTTTCAGCTCTGATAGTTCAAAAAGCAGTGAAAAAAAAAAAAAATGAAATCATACATGAAACCTGAGATACCTTGTTACTCCAGGACAGAAAGTTAGAAGGTTAGAGAGGGCAAAGATCATCTTGAATAAATTGGAAAATTATCCTGGAATTATATATATATATATATATATATATATATATATATATATATATATATATATATATATATATTTGAACTTAATTTCAATCCTTCATGAGCTTCTGATCTTTAGCTATGATTAATTAATAATGAACATGTCATTTTCATTCATGATTGATTTCTCCATTCTTCTGTTAAGTTTGGAGAGTAATTATACATTCTTATTGCTCAAAGTAGAGTCCAATAGTGTTATAAAAACCTTGGAGAATTCCAGTAACATATTTTTAATCATTTCTAAAATACAATGATTCAAAGCTTAATCTAACAAATGGACAATTTTGCTTTTACACCCAGTATATATATATATATATATATATATATATATATATATATATATATATATAAAACTAGGCAAAGTTTCAAATTTTCTTATTGCTTCCCACAGACTTAAACAGAACATGTATATTAATTAAGTATTTATTTATTTACAAGTGTACTAATTAAGATATAAGTATTTATTTTACAGATGTACTAATTATTATTTCTGTAATAACAAACTAAATATTGCTAATGACTAATGAATTTTACTATTTTCATAATTTGAAATTTGTTTTAGCAAGATCTGGTGCTCAGTCAAAATGAACAAGTGTGTCAGTGGTTACCAATTTATTACTGAGAGAATGAAATGCAAATGCATTTTTAACATTTTCACTGTAGAAAGCATTACATTATAGAAATGCTACATAAATATACAAATACACTAAAAATCACGAACAGCAATATTTTTAATAGTCAAGAATTAAGGCAAGCATAACTGACAGAAGGGTTGTATCAAAAATTCTCACTGAAAGAGTACAGAAAAAAAATATCCTGTCAAAATCAGCCTCCTTCATTAATCTTTATGAAATTTCATAACAAACTTGTTTGATGTATATCTATAAATCTTAATTTAATGAAAAGTAATACATTAGAAATATTTATAGTCTTGTTCTATTTTCAATCCATTGACCAAAAAATGTTTCAGGATGTAAATATTTAAAGAGAAAATTGAATTACCAATAAATGTCTGACCAAGAGGTACAGGCCGGAATCTCCCATCAAAAAAGAAAAGGCCAAGGCTTACATTGACTCTGAGAAACCTTGCTACATCCAAATAATTTGGTAGAGTGGCTGATAGACCTACAATTCGTATCATACTCTGGGTAGCCTCTACCTATAAAGTGAAATAAAACAAAAACAAAAAATATCATTAGAATTATAACTCTCAAATTATTGTATTATTTCAAACTTTGTTCTCATCTTGATCGATAGAAATGTTATTATAGACACGTTTCAATGAAGTACCCTCTGGTCATTATCAGGTATTCATTGATTGGCTGATATGGGATATCTGTTGATTATTGATATTTTTTGTTGTTCCTGTTGAATTGGTGTATCACTACCAGTTTCAAGGATTGAACTTGTGACCACTAGATGATAGTAATACATGTATAATCAAACTCCAATATCAATTACGCCACTATCCCAAAGGATATTAGTGTTGTGTTTTTTGGAGCCTTTTATATTGTCAGGTAGTTTTTGACATTTGGTTATGATCATTGACATTGAATATAAAAGGCTCCAAAAGCACAACAGTAATGTCCATCAGGATGGTGGCCTAGTGGATCTGGTAGTGATATACTAATTCAGCAGGAATGATAAAAAATATCACAATAATCAACAGATATCCCATATCAGCCAATCAATGATGATGACCAGAGGGTACTGGGTTGAAACATTGTATCTATAATAACATCTATATGAACAAAGATGAGAACAATAGTTTGAAATAATACAAGAATATAAACAATTACTCATTTTAGAAATGAAATACTAAACTCTCAAATTATTTTAAAATGAATTTACTATACTTCTGGATTATATTAGCTTTCAAAAAATCCTCACTTTTATTCAGAGAACACAAGATTACTTCCAAGTCATTTGTTGGGAGGGGAGGTGTGCATTTTGTTTGCTTTTAAACATAAAAAAGTAATTGCAACAATTTTATTTGTATAATTAAAACAAAATTGATAGAAGTAATTTCATTTTGAAAATTTTAAATTCTTAAAAAGAAAATTAAACTGTACTTGTATTATGAATAATGATAAATATATATTATTGCTACATAGTTGAAAGTTGCCAAAGGAGGCCATTAAGCACAATACTAACATACTATTTATAGAATTTAATAATAGCTGGCTACTCGTATTCAAGGATACCCGTCTATTAGGGCAGCTAGCCAATCCCTATTGCAGACACTTGCTCAGGCACATTTGTGTTTGTTCAACACCCACAGAGCCAACCTGTGGTTTATACTGCAACTATGCTGAGGAGAAACTAGTTACAGTTTCTGAGAGAGCATGTCATTTAGCATGATCAACAATCTGAACAAGGCCAGCACACTCAAACCCTCGATCACAATAACTTGTGACTTCATGCTAGCACAGCTATTGATGGCCTCCCAAAGGTTCCATCTACCCAATTTCACTCACAAGGCTTGAGCCAACTCATGGTATGGTTTTCAGGTACTTTCCAAAGGTGCCGCACGCTGGGATCACCCCTCCAGACTGATAACATCAGGAAGTCTACTTCCTGACAGATCAACCATGGTGTGATTCAAACCCGGGTCTCATGGTCTGAAAACAAATGTTCTAACCACTGAGCACCCATTTGAAAATAAGTACAATAACTCCTCTGAAATTTACCAAGATCCAATAAAATTTAAAATTTTAAGTCAGCTTTACTTATACTAATTTCTAACCATCAGGAGTCAAGCATTAAATGATTTTTAAAGATAGATGCTTATAATTTAGAAAATAATTTTTTTGTAATAAAGTGAAGAAATGTTCATTATGAAAGAGGAAAAGAAAAAGTAATGAAATTATTAATAACTTTTTAATAAAATAAGGGTAACTATGAAATAATGACATTTATTTTCTATATAAAAATAGGTAATGAACAATTCTAACAAAAAATATACGATTATTTTCTGCAACAATTAGTACTCTTTTCATTTTCCCCCACTTTCAATGTTGATATGATTTAAAGTTTTTGTAACAACCACAGAAACATACAACAATCATATTATGATTCTCAGAGTGAGTATAAATACAGACCCCACACTATTACATTGCAAATTAGACTGAAAATTGTTTCAGTGCATTTTAACAGTATTACCCAAACAAAACTCTTGCTATAATGTGACATTTTGGTGCATTACGGTAACATAACCACAAACATAAATCAGATCAGTGTAATATAGATTTTGTGCATTTTACATAAAAATCATATGTAGTAGCTATCCCACACTCATAAATATATAATTTAAAAAAGAAATATTAGCATGTTTAAGTAAGTTTCCTATTATGAATCTGTATTTGCTACAAAGACATTTTTTGAGAAAGAGAAATATTCCCTGATGACTATCATGGCATCTCTTTATAAATATTTCCTATTAAATTCAAGATATTTCTTCCCTCATAGAATTATCTATCCTGTATGTCACAAAATATATTTTTGTTTTTTTAGCTAAAACAAAAAATGTATTATCTAAAATAATTCAAAAGGAAAAAATTAATTATGAGTACTTGAATAAATAGAGGTGAAAAATTAAGGAGTTGAAATAACCTGACGTAGAGTCCGAGCCACAATACTTTCAATAACAGAGCCACGATCATCATGTAGTAAATGAACTTCATCAATAATGAGCAGGCGGACAAGTTGGGAAAGGGACACATCACCAGTTCCTTTTCTGGTGACAACATCCCATTTTTCTGGAGTAGTAACGAGCATCTAAAAATCAGGAAAAAAAAAAAAAAATTTAAAACAAAAATTTAAATTTAAAAAGAAAATATTGTATATCCTTAATGTAACTTTGTCTAATTGGGATTAATATGTCTGAGAGATTTAAAAAAAAAAAAAAAAAAAAAAAAAAAAAAAAAAACAGTAGGTAGGTGCATAAAAGCTGTTTAAAATGCCTTAGACACTCAAATCAACTTTAATGGTTGGTTGGTTGATTTTGTTTAGTGACATATCAACACCTCTATGGGTTATTTAATGCTGAAATCTACATATTTTGTACATAATTTTATACTTTCAGGATAGTTATACTTGTTTTAGCTTATATAGTTCATAGATCATAACATGTATTGTTGGTAATTTTACTATAAAAATGCACTTTTATATTTTTTAGTGCCGCATTGTCATTTTGTACTGTTCATTTTTGTTTTGGGGGTTCACTATTTACCCATAGCTGGGCACCCCCTAACAGGTACTACCACCCCAGATCAGAGTGGACCTGGGAATAATAGCAATTAAGAGGTGGTATCACAATCCTCAAAACTTCCAATCTCCCAATCAAAGGCCTTGCTGCCAGATGTAGTTTACTGTCATACCCAGGACTATTCTGTTTAATGAGTCACTAAAATATTATTAAACTTGAGAACAATATATTTTTCCTTCCTCACATCTATCCTTAACATAACAGCTATCATACATTATCAATGTTAATTAAATCAGGTATACAGAACATTGTATAAATCAAATATGTGTTTCTATGGCTGATATCTTTTGAATATATTTATAAATAAAATGCAAATGTGCATAATAAAACGTGTTGCCCATCACAACCAAAACATGTTATCAATATTTTTGATAAGATTCCTATTATAATTCTGCTTGTTCCTTAGTTATGTTACTTCCTGTCATTACCTCAGATGAATAACGGACTATTGGTTTGACAGAAGAAAAAAATATATTAGTGTTTGAATTTAGTGAGAGGAAGAAGAAAATAAAAGAAAACAGAGGGCGCTCTTACACATTTAACATCTAATTCAGTGAAATGGAAAACTTTCATTTGTACCCTCTTACTTCTTTAAATAATGACCTACATTCATACTTATTGTAATATTTGGTTAAAGTTGTTTGGCACAAATAGTCAATAAGAGAATTTCCATGGATATTTTATAAACATGGAACTTACAAGGAGCTTATTCATTCATTAAATTAAGAATTATGATTCATCAGAAAACTCAAATAGGAAAGCTGTGAAATTTTCAGTAAATATTCTAAGTGGAAACTTACACTTCCTATTGCTTATATATCCTGTAAAACTTGTCCAAATGCTCTGCATATATGAGCACTTTCAGCTATTCTTTTAGCCATTATCAAAGATGATTTTGATTTTTTAATTTTTAACTGAATTTATATTTTTTTTTATGTATGTATCTGGAGCTTAAAGAATGTTTTAGTTTCCAAAAATGGCCAGCACATTGTGACCATGTTCACAGCTGATGTTACTGTGTGTTGGCTTTTGCCTTTTGTGACGAAAGCAGATAGCATACACACACATACACACATCTATTAAGGTTAATTTCCGCCTAGCAACAGAATAAAGGTCACGTGGGAGTCTTATGACATTTTGGAAGGCAAGTCAAAAGGTTGACTGACCCAATTACCAGATGGCGACAAATGTCTAGACAGAAGCTAGACAGGGGCTGATGTAAGCTGGAATTGCCAAAAACTTAAGACACGTGATAGTCAGAAACTTACTCGAGAATCAGTTGCTATCTTGACTTTGAAGAAGCAAGACCTGAAGTCGAAGCACTGATAGTTTATGAACGGAAAGATAAGACTCATTTGATAGTGATGGAACTTATCCAGTTCAACCCAGGCAACTCCGGACAAGAAATATAAGAAGTATTTCTGTTCGATAACCCCAAATTGAAGACGCAAAGAAATTTATACGCTGAGGATTCAGCCTGCGTTTAAAGAAAAAGGAAAACCAGAGAGGAAAGTGTATACCTCTGTTACAAGTTGAATTGTCTAAAGAAAAGAAAAAAGGATATCCAGAGAGGAAGAAAGAATATACCTCTGTTACAAGTTGAATTGTGTAAAGAAAGAAAAAGGAGAACCAGAGAGGAAGAAAGTGTGTACCTCTGTTATAAGCTGAGTTGTGTAAAGAAGAAGAAGAAGGAAAGAAAGAAGAAAACCAAAGAGAGGAAGAAAGTGTATATCCCTGTTGCAGTGAGTCGGGTTTGGAAACCGAACTGTATACAGAAGAAAAAGGAAGGAAAGAAAAAGGCAAAGCAAAGAAAGTGTATACCTCTGTTACAGCCGAACAGTGTGTAAAATTGTATTTGTGTCAAGAAAAGAAAGGACAATGATAAAAAAAGAGAACTGAATATAAAAGATAAGTAATCATATTTTGGACCCGTAATAGAAAGATATACATACATCCATGAACATTATGTTCTTGCAAACACCTTTACACCTGTCAAAATAATAATTGTAACTCCTATCCCATCTCTTTTGTGTATGCGTTGGCTTCTGCATTCATAGTAATTCATACTTATATTTTTGTATGTTCAGGTTCAGTTGAATCCTTCTGGAGTTAGGCGAATTTTGATATCCCAACGTAAGTCTTGAGATCTGGTCGTCGGATGTTTTAACTCATACTTATATTTTCTTTTATTTTAATATTTGTCTATTTGTACATATTAAAATTCTTGTATCAAAAATTGCTAAGCCTTATAGTTCATCCTTGTATTGTGGATCAGTATTCATGTTGAAAATGAAGCGGACATGGGAAAGATTACTGTTCGATTATCCTAATCGAACAGTGTTCTTAAAATATTTTTGTTTACCAATTGTCCATTGTCACGATCTGAGAATGTATATATCTTCTAGTCGGCATATGATCGCCTTATAAACCCATTCGTCGACTAGGGCATATGACACTTTTTACATCTTGATGTGAATATTATCCTTGTATTTTCTACAAGTATGATGCAGGTGGGGTTTTGATAAGTTTTCATATGTGTTTAAATGGATCCTAATTGAGCTATGGTCAGAGAGGTGTAACAAGAGTCTTCTCAACAGGCATGTAGTGGTATGTCCAATATAATCATTCATGAATTTGGTTTGATCAGGAATATACTTCCTTAAGGAGACATGTGAATTCATAAATAATATTGGTTCTCTGTAATTTAAATCTTGCAAGTCTGTTGTTATTGTTGATGATAAGGTTAACTGTTTTAAATTTTTTATAGTAGATAATTTAGTTTTCTTATTCTGGTCAACTGGAGTTGTGTTTTCTTTATAATGTTTCTAATACAAAATTCAACTTGCTTATAGTTAATGTGTATTAGGATTTTAGAGAAAATGTTATTGCTTTTATCTCTAAGTTCAGTATTGCTATTAGTTACTTTAAAAAGAAATAGTTTGACCTGGTGATTGATGAGGCAGTTTGGAAAACCATTGTTAACTAGCATTTGTTTCCCATTATTGAGTTCTTTAAGGAAAAGGGTAGGAGATTATAAATTCTCATGGGCTCTCTTGAGTAAATTTTTTATAATGCCAATTTTATATCTAAGTGAACATTCACTCATAAAATTAAGGTGGCAATAGTTTCTACTAGTGGGTTTTTTGTATAACAAAGTAGTGAATGTGTTACTACTGAATTCTACAAGAATGCCTAAGAATGGGAATTTATTTCTTTTGACTAAATTCATAGGTGAAGTTAAGGACAGAGTTTTTTCAAACGTGGTTTTGAGATTATCAATTTCTTTTTTGTTTTCAGTTAAAATAAAAATATCATCTACATAGTGGACATATATTTTGGGTTTAGTAACTTTTTTAAATATCTTGTTTCCTATGTGAGACAAGTAGTATTTAAAGAAGCACAGACCAAGTGGATTTCCCATACTAACCCCATTAGTTTGATTGTAGATATACATACAGGAATTCAGTTTTTTGTCTGCCATAATTAATCTTCCTCTGGAGTTAGCATAGGCCTACAAAAACCCTAACCATCACATGGCAAATTTTCAAAACTTATTTCAGCAAAAAAACTGCATCCTTGACACAGGAAAATACAGAAGATAGATATTTGATATTGTTATTTCATAATAATCATCATTGTCAAAATTTTCATTCACAATATTTCATCATTCAAACATTCTTTATCTTAACAAGAAATAAAGAATCATGAGCAAACACATGTAAACAACAAACGACCCCTATATACATCATAAGTCATGACAACTGTAGGCCAATTTATAAAATATTTCAGTTTGTAAATGATGAAAGAATAATAATAATGATATTTAAACTTCTCACCTGTGTAGTTGCAATTTCTTGCTTAGTTAGCTGCATATCTCCAGTCAATTCTCGTACAATGATGCCAAGGGCTTCAAGACGTTTGCTAAAATTCCTCACCATTTCAGCAGCCAGAGCTTTCATTGGAGCAATATATACAATCTGTCAGAATAAATAAAAAAAAAAAAAATAGATGAATAAAAATTAAAAAAATAAATAAAATTACCAAAATAAAATAACTAATGGACATAATTTACCTTTGTAAAACATAAAATTTCTTTCTTAAATTTTAAGAATAGGGAAAAGATTTAGCTAATATGTAATTTTAAAACTATACAATCACAGTAATTTAAATAACAGTTTTTTTTTTATATTGAGAAAATAGAAGCTAAAAAGTTTAAGGGTTTCTCTGAAAGTAATGCTTCCTATTTCATTATGTTAATCCACGTCAGAAAGCAGTAGAGTAAATCTTCCCACCAATAAGACATTTTAATTTTTTTTGCCTATATATAGCAACTGAGCAATCATCGTTGAAGGTCAATAGGTGCAAGCTTTTCTGCATGGAGAAATTTAATGATGCACATTTGCTTCAGGTGTCCTTTCATGTCAAATGCCGTTTAGACCAAAACTTGTCACAAAGCAAAACAAAATCCATCTCTGACATCATAAACCAAAATAATAAAATAGGAGGCATTACTTTCAGAGCAACTCTCTATTTGCATCTCAACAAGACAGAATGCATTAGTACTGTGTATCTCATCTGGTCGTAAAATATTACTAAATGTCATGCCAGATGATAAATTTCTGCATATATGTTTCTAGTCAGACACATAACATATTAAGCAAAATCAACTGTTTCAGTTATTTGGGGACTGTCCATAGTGCTATCTTTTATCATTGTTCATTTTCAAAGTTTACTATTACTAAACTTGAAAAATAAGTATAATTTTTAATGAACTCACCTTGAACTCATCTTTCTTAATAACATTCTGTATAATATGCTGTTTAATTTCCCTGACAACTGTTAACATAGCAATATTTGTTTTGCCTGCTCCAGTTGGTGCACAGATCAGTAAATTTTCATTGGTTTTGTAGGCAGTTTCATAGACAATTGACTGAATTCGGTTGAGTGTTTTCATACCTTGGAATGCCATTGCCCCAATCTGAATTATCCAAGTGTTTTAAAATTAATGACATTATACATTATTAAGTTTATTAGCAAATTTGAAACATAAAGTGGAACAATAAAAATTGAGAAAAAAATATATAGAAATTCTTTATAGCATCCATTTTGTTATTGCCAATTAAATATAATCAAAGTATTTTTATTTATTCTACTTTATTGGGATGGGGAGGAATTGAGGGTGGGGGCTCCTCATAAAATTTAGCATTAGTTAAGTTGAAGCTAAATATTGCAATTAAATTTTAAATTATTACTGAAAGAAATAACCCTATACAAATTTTTATTAACTAATACCAAACAAATATAATAAACATTTTAATTTTCTACTAGGATGGTAGATATAAAATGGCAGATTTGATTTGTTTAACAGCATATCAACTCTTTATGGGTCATTTAATGTCAAAATTTAATTTTCTTAGGAGCTTTGAAGTAATAAAAATATATATTATTCTGCTTTCACAATTGAATACATGGTAGATGATACTCAGCTTTTGTGCATATACATGTTTGTATAGACATAATTACTAGAGGTGATGATGTGTGTTTTATGTTGTAGTTTTGTTGAAGTTATATTTTGGAATACTGTTTGATTTAAGAGATTGTAGGATATTATATGGATTAATGCCATGAAAGAGTTCATTCATGTTAGTTGTTTGGCGAGTTGATTTTTCTATAAGTTATTTAATGCTAAAATCTAAATATTTTGGACACAATTTTATGGCTTCAACTAAATGTATTTTGAGTGCAATTGTATGCCTTCAACTACAGATAAAATGTATTGTTGGTAATTCTATAAAATGTATTGCTGGTTATTTTGCTTTAAAAATGTATTGTTGGTAATTATTTTTATATAAAAATGTATTGCTAGTATTTTTATAATTTCATAGTGTTTTGATTTTGTTTGGTGGTTTGCTATTTGCCTATAGCTGGGACCCTAACAGGTGCTACCACCTCCGGTCAGGGTGAATCTGGAAACAACAGCAATTAAGAGGTGGTTCCATACTCTTAAAAATCTCCAATCTCCCAATCAGAGCCCTTGTTGCTAGATGTAGTTTTTCGTCATACCCAGGATTAATAAAATGACAGGATTAGTATTTTGCCTAGGATCAGTGTAGTATCTGAGCACTCTTCCCAGTATGTCTGTAAATAATCAGCATTATATCTACTCATTGCAAAAATGGCTAAACACAATGTAGCCATCAACTGCTTATCTGATCATTTCCAGACTCATTGTGAAAAGCAAGATAGGGAGGAGGAGGCAGGAGAAAAAGAAGATGTGAAGAAAGGAAGGTAGAAAGCTAGAGATAAAAAATGAAAAGAAAATCACTGAAAAGAAAGTGGGAAAAACTCAAGATGAAAGAGAGATATAGATAGACAGGCTAACTGTCTTGAGTTTAATTTCTCCATGTGATCTTTTAAACCTTTTGTTTTTTTTTTAATCATTTTACCCCAAGCAAGACAATAAAGCCACTAAGACACAAAAGATTACTGAGTGTGAGAGAATATTTAAAAAATGAAAACATCATTAAGGAGAGAGAACAATAAAAGAACAGGAATTAAGAAAACACAAGATAACAATTTAAGTTTTTGAAGATCAATGTTGATAGGGAAGCAAGAAGACAGTTCCACAAGTGAGAAATGCCATAGAAAAAACTATTAGCATAGAATTTAAAGTTACATCTAGCCATTTCAATTGTAAAATGACAAGACCTTGCCACCAATCTAGTACTCTGCTCAAATTCAACTACTATGAGAATATTTATAGAAAAGGCAGAGGGAATCCATATTATGACAATGGGAAGTGATTGAAGCTGAGATGCCAGGTCAGGGCCAATAACATTTGCAGATTCTTTGTATTTTATCAAAAATACCTAAATACATAGCAGAAGCAACAGTAATATTCATTGCATGGACAAATAGTAGACTTATAAATGCATAAGATAGATTCTGTAGAGAAAACTTGTCTAGCACGATACAGTGAACCAACTTTCCTAGCAGCAGACCTAGCAATTGATTCAATATAATCTTTCCACTTTATGACAGCAGAAAAAAACTTTAGCCAGAGAAGTCACAAGGAGTCACTCTCCTGAAGAAGTGAGTGAAACTGTTTTGGTTTTTTTGAAGAACTACACAAATTATACATGAAGGTAGGTTGATACAATGCTATTAGAGATTTCTCATGTTTATAATTAACACAAATTTCCTTTTGAAAAGGAAATTAATTAACATCTATAAATATACATTTTTTTAAAAAGATTTTTAATCATAAAAATTGAATTTAAAATTTTAAAACTAAACTGAATTACCATTCCTGTTCAAAATTGTTAAAATAGTTTGAAATTTTCTGAAGGCCCAGAAGTTGTTTTGCCACATTTGATAAAAACTAACTTAAATTTAGTCATAGAATCAAAGGTTCATAGCAATCAATAATTACAAAGACTTTTCACAGATGTGATTTTTTTTTAAGCATTTCACCTCAAGCAGGGTAGGAGTGCCACAAAGCATGCAAGGGGTTACAGAGAGTGGGAGCAAGAATAAAGAGGCACGACAGAGGAAAGGATGAAGAGAGGGATGGGGAATAGATCAAGGCATCTGGAGATGTCACACAGGATACTGTAAAATGATTCTAAGAAATTTTGTGTCCTACGTGTATTATTCACAATTTCTAATTTAGAAAGGAATAAGTGATAATGAAATATATAATTTCCTATCACATTTATTTTCTTTTTCCTTGTATTTTACAATATGTTCTTTCTAATGCCAGCCAATCAACTATTTTTTTTAGCAAAATAGTTTATTCACCTAAGTTGTACTGAGTACCTAAAACTTATATTCATATATACTATTTAATACAAACAGAATTAATGAAACTAGCAGAGTAGACTGGGCTCTCTAACCTTAGGTGGCAACCTATCTAAGAGAAAGAAGACTCTGAATTCCAAATCTCTGATAAGGCAATGGGAAACCACACCACGATCTTTCCCAAGAATGCATGGAAATTCAGATAATAATGAAAAATGTGTACAGTTATAATCACTTACTGAGGGGTATTGCACTAAAAAAATAAAAATAAAAAAATTGCATATGTTATTACGTTGTTCAAACCTTACATGATTATTGACTATAGCACCTGTTAGAATTTAGGTACAAAGTGATAAAATTGAAATGAAGTTATAGTATTTACCTCATCAAATTCTGAGATTGGTACGAGCTTAAAGCTGAGAGACAAAGTTGATTTCTCATTTGGAGGTAAGTGAACTTCTTCATATAATTTATTATCAGTGCGCTCAAATCCAACAGGAAGAGCCATCTGAAAAGGAATTTAATTTTATCAGAAGATAATCAGTTAAATACAATTCAAATTTGAACTTATTAATTATTTTTTATTTTTGAAATAGAATTAAATATACATTAAAAGAATAAATGAATGGTTTTATATTGGACAAAGTTAAATCTGACATGCAAAATGAATTGAATTCACTATCAATAGCTTACAAAAAAGATAAGTTGTTAAACAATAATACAAACTACTTTGTAAAATGAATGTAAGTTGATATTAATTCATCGGATTAATTTGGTCCAAGAAGTATAACAGAAACTATGCTCCTCAGCTACATTTTAACAACATCAAAAATTATTCATCGAATAATAACTAAGGGAGGTAAATACTAAAGATATTTCTTGCATTCAACTCAAGTCACATTCACTTTAAACTCAATGAGGAATGAATTCAATTTCAAGGGTTTGTGAGATTAATATCTAATATGCCACACAGCACCAATTGTGTGACTTTCAGTATTCAAACAGTTTACTTCATCAAATTTGCACTTTTTTAAAGCAGGAAACCATGATTAATGCAACCACAAAAAAATAAAAATGGAGGAAATAATGTAATTAATCTGCAAATTTAAATTGAAAAGGTAACTTTTAATAAGCTGTTTTAAAACACTAAAATTAGAAAATTATACTTTTATTTTTTTAAATAAAATCTTTAAAATTTTCAGATATCTTTTTTTGCAAAACTTAAGTTTACAATGTATTTGAAAAGAAAAGAAATAACAAAAAAATTTTCCAAACAAAATAGTATTTTACTTTTATTGTATTTCTGAGCATACATTTTCCATCTCTGATTGAATTTTCAAATAAAATTTCAACTGATTTAATTTCTCCATAGACTTATCTTTTTTGTAGAAATGTAAATATTTTTAATGTTGAAATTATATTTTATAAAACAGTGTGTGTTGGAGGGGATCAACTTCAAAAAATATTTCTATAAATTTCATTCCAATAATTAGTTGATTTTTGGAAAATCTTAAAAACCTTAGTATAGTTCACATGTTGCTGTTGTAGAAAGTACACACACACAGAGTTCCTATTGTAAAATTAAAACTTTCAAATCAAACAGTGTACAACAGAAAATTTATTTTATTGCAAACTAATAGATTATTTAATGCCAATAAGATTTTTATTGCTGGTAATATTTTTTTTCAAGAATGTATTGCTGGTAAAAAATTTTCAAAAGAAGTAAGTATTGGTGGTATCAAAACCTATTTTTATACTTCATAGTGTTTTGACCCCTTTTGGGGAGGTTAACTATTTTCCCATAGCTGAGACCCTGACAGATGCAACCACCTTGGGTCAGGATGGACCTGGGAACAACAGCAATTAAGAGGTGGTTACACACTCCTCAAAACTTCCTGATCAGAGGCCTTGCTGTTGGATGTAGTTTATAATCTAACTCAGGACATAGATGTAGTTTATCGTCTTACCCAAGATAGAAATTATGTTGCATTAATTTTTAATTAAGCCGTTATTCAATTTTGGAGATAAAAAAAAACATTAATCAAAGACATGCTAATTTGGAAGTTTCCTGTATTATAATGGATTTCATTTGAATTTCAGGTTCTTCTGGTGCCCAATGGATTGATAAACAATGCTAAAATATATTTGTGCAAGAATACTGGATTTAAAATAGTAAAAAGTTTAAAACAAAAAAACACAGGAACTTTACTTTGCAATTGCCAATAAATGCTGATGATTGCTTAGCTTGAGCCAGGGAATCAAAGACATAAGGGAGCTGTTCTTTAGATGCTGAGAGACGGACAATTCCAGATTTTGTAAATAGAGGAGTCCTTTGAGAAACTGCAAGAGCAGCTTCTCTGCGAAAAACAAAGAAAAGAAATACAAATTATTAATTAATAAATGAAGCAACACTGAATTAATATTAATGAGGGTACAACAGAGATGAAAAAAATTATTATAATTAAAAAATGTTTGTAGCAGAATCAAAAGCTGAACTGAAATATTTTAGGCAATTTCATTTTTCTCAAATTAAATACCCCAAAATAGATAATCTTATAAATGAACAAATTATGTATTAAATTTTGTTTATATCTAGAATAATTTACAATGTTAATTTGCTTCTCCTGAATACCCAACCTCAGCTCATATAGTCAAGCAGATATATTTTCAGGCAAAATATTTTCATCATGACCTTCTTGAAAGTGCCCAAGACTTTAGTTTACACTAGCTTTTAAAAATCGACTGAAAACTAATTGTTATACACCTTCCATGTAGAATAAAGTGACTATTGTACTGTACGTGAAAATCTATACATACATTTTTAATAGAAAAATAATGGTTTGTATTATTTAGAAGTTTTACATTGCATATGAATGAAGACACTCAATTGGGAAACAAAAAGGAATTGAAAAAATTTTGAAAATTATTATTTTCTAGAGAATTTTTCTCTTATCTGTTGTGAGTTATTCTAATTATTCTCTCTCACTAATGGATATTATGGTTTTTCTAATGACTTTTCTTACATTAAAAAGTTCCCTATAAAATAATATTAATCTGTTGGTTGTTTCACATTATGTACCTACTGGTATGAAAACGTTTTATGGCATACCATGAAATAAGCCTCAATACCAAAACTTTCAAAAAAGCTGGAATATACTTAAAACAGCCAGTATTTAGCCACAAACCATTTTATTTTATTTTTGTTTTTCACAATCAAGATATAAAAAAAAGTAAAAATTAAATAGAAGAAAATATTTTTCACAAGAAATATTGTTTTTCATAAAGTTCTTGAAAATTAAGAACAAAGTTGTGGTTATCAAATCCTGACAAATTTAGAAATAAATATAAGAAGTTTGAATTAATATAAATTATTTAAAGAAAATAATTTTTTTACCTTTGTGCTCTCATTCTGATTGGATCAAAACTGTTGGAAACATTTTCATTTCCAATGCATTCCTTGCGGGCAGTTTTTTTCCCTTCTTTGCGGATTTGCTTCAATATCTGTTTTTCTTCTTCAGTCTAAAATTTAATGCAGGATTAAAAATATTCAAAGTGATATGATGCTTAAGAGTTCTGAGATTAGGAAAAAACAGTATACAAAGGAAAAATAATACAATCAAAAACAAAAATTAATCATTTTCAACTTTTATTTGACAAATGGTTTATTTTCCATCATTTAACTGATGGTAAGATGATCAAATTTCAAACCTAAATTTTTTTTATTTTAAATACTACATTTATTACAAAATATATTCAAGTTTAAATACAGAAGTCATTTAATTGAACCAACATTTATGTTACTAGTTTGGTAGATGTCACTTCACTGATGGAATTTATTACAAAATATATTCAGTTTAAATGCAGGTTTGGTTTGGTTTGGTTTACGGCATCTCAACCTCAATGGGTTATTTAATGCCGACAAATTTTTTTATTGCTGGTAATATTTTGGTTTGACAAAAATCTATTTCTGGTAATATTTTTTTCCCTCAAAAATGCATAGCTGGTAATATTATTTTAAGAAATGTATTGCTGGTAATATTTTTTTCAATAATATATTGCTGGTAATATTTTTTTCAATAATATATTGCTGGTAATATTTTTTTCAATAATATATTGCTGGTAATATTTTTCAATAATATATTGCTGGTAATAGTTTTTTTTTTTTCCTTCAAAAGTTTATCTGTGATAAAAATTTTTTTACAAAGTATTTCTGGTATTAAAACCTATTTTTACGCTTTCATAATGCTTTTTACCTCAGTTTGGGAGTTAACTATTTGCCCATAGCTGAGACCCTAACAGGTGCTACCACCTTGGGTCTGGGTGGACCAGGGAACACCAACAATTAAGAGGCGATTCCATGCTACTCAAAACTTCCTGATCAGAGGCCTTGCTGTTGGACGTAGTTTATCATCATACCCAGGATGTAGTTTAAATGCAGGAGTTATAAAAATGACTTCAAAGACTTGCCAGACAAAACATGAAATTAGCCATCATGATTTACAATTTCATGAAATTTCTAAAATTTTTGTCTATAGTTCTATAGTTGAGAAAATCATTATTCATTCTCTAGTGATAGACAAGCAAAATATATTCTAGTATTTGTTTTGATAATTTTACTCTATGTTCAAAGATAAAGTTGCTAGTTTTTAAATCTTTATAACTGAAAGCAGTTATTTAAATTGTATATTTTGATTCAATGGTAGACAAAAATATTTATAGAAAATTTTAAAAAATAATTATGTTCATTACTGAATAATTTCAAAAAGTTTTATAAAATCTTATAATAAATCAAATTTTTTTTCATCTCTGACTTTGATTTTATTGCTCAACCCAAGATAGTAGTTGTCCTGACTGAGTGGGATGGGGATATATTATTCCAATATTTTATTTTAAATTTGTTCAAATCGTATGAATATCTGTGCATGTGCTTGTGTACACATTAAATAGCACAAGCACATCTAAGTCACTCATGCACAACACAGACATACGCATATATCACACACAAGTAGTGTGCAACAGACAGAGAATCAGTTCTTTTTTCAAAGCATATGTTACTTAAGTAAGGATTATCATATTAAAGTTTATATAAATGAATATTTGACATTTGAAAATCCAAAGCAAACCATTTTTTCCTCAATAGTGAACTAAACTAATTTTTAAATTATTATTTCTCTAACACTTCTTAAAAAAAAATTTGTTTTGTCCACTATATCCAAGATTTGTTTATTTTGCTTTCACCAACAACTGGTTAACTTCTAGATACAAGGATGGATCAATAAATCCATAGTCTGGAACACAATTATTAAATGAATATTTATTTGAAATTTTCACGGAAAAATGTTTTGTCTTTGTGATTTATATTCACTACTGAATTATGGCATGGAAAAGGAAGGAGATTATGTTGAAAATTAACTATTGTGAAAAATAAATCCTTTTTTTTTTTTCATCATTCAACTAAGAACATACTGCTGCATTTATGTGTTTTTTTGGCAGAGCATCTACTGATGATATTCAATTTTTTTTTTTTTTTTACCTGAATTGTGACTTGACAGCCATAAGTGGGACGAGATCCAGTATCTACTTTTTTCTCTGTGAAGAAATGAAATTTTGCTATAATCTAAAAGGATCATTGAATAAAAAACTACAAATGATTTATAAAAATGCTGCTCAAAAGAAGAATCAGTTGAAGTAGCTATCATTACAAGGTTTGATATCTTTATATGAAAATTAACCCTCTGTCCTCTGTTTACACTTAAGAGATTCTGATATCACTACACTGTCATGTTTTTTACCTGGTGTTGTAAGCATCAAGTGATCCCTTCCTTTACATTGTATGGATAGTGGGAATTGAAGTTGAAGTATTGTCAAGTGAAGGTTGGCTTGTGATATACAAATGTTTTGAACCAATTCTCTGTGCAAGTTATCAGTACATCCAAGAAGGCTAGCTGATTGTTTTATTCTTCTTCCACTGGTTTTATTGAGTTCACATGATCCAACAGTATTTGTACAGCTTGCTGGTGCAGCCAGAGTATGAAGGTGTCATCTATGTATTTTAAGAATGCAATATTCCTCAATGTTTAGGCTGGTCTCATCTAATAATTGTTCATTCTATTAGTATTATCTTTCTGTTACTTTACTTCAAGACTGCCTATATGACATTACATTTATAATTATTTATCACATGTTTGAAGCCTGAATCTTCAGTTATGCCCTGTTGAAATTGGCTTCTAGACTAATAGAGATGAACTTTGAATAGTCATAACTTTGTTGCTAAGTGAGCTACCAAAATAACTTTGGTACCATTTTTTTGGTTTTGTCAAGCTGTGTATGTATTATTGTTTTTTTTTGTTTTTAGATATATTGAAAATAAAATTCTAGTTTGAGATACCTGTTCTAACATTTCTTTATCTTGACATTTAAAATCATTTTCTTGTTTTCCTCAAAATATGACAAAGACTGGAAGTGACTACAAAAATCATACTTGTAAATTATCAAGAGAAAATGTGTTTGATTTTGCTAATACTGAGACGTATATTCAATTCACAATGATCTGTGGATGATGAAAATAAATATTTTTTTAAATCAATCATATTTCCTGTTTTTTTAATGAAATATTGATTATAGCTTTCAGAATTATTTCATCCTCCAAAAATGTCTCCTTCAGTTTTTGGTTGAATGTTTGGTTACTCTTCTTTCTTTCTTTTTTTTTTTGACAATAAAAATAAATTCTGTTTTGATTTGAATAGATCCAACAGAGTGCTCACAGCAACCATTGGATTTTATTTGATAGTTCATTCAATAAAGAAATTGAATATTAATGACGGACTTGGAACCAGTGTTGTTTGATTATTCTGTTAGTGATTCCTGCAAGCTCAGCAAACTAGGCAATATACTACAGGGGAAAATCACAAGTTCTGGATTCAAAGGGTTAAGCTTAGAGACGATATTAAATTATCATGTTTTATTATCAAAGTAATAACATTTGAAATTTAATATTTATTAATATGCATTTCATATGAATATCAATGGAAAAGGCATGAAACTACTTCTTGAGTTGTCCTATCACCAAATATCTCATCAGTGGCATGCCACGATGCTTGACAAAGATAAAAGTAATAGTGAACACTTGGGAAAACCCCTCTCCAATAATTAACTTGTTTATGTGGTAACAGTAAAAAAACTGTTATATTTATAGTTAACTTTGACAGAAACCAGTAATATGCTTGGTCATAACTAGTTACCTCCAGCATGTGCGTTATGTTTTCATTTGTACAATACAGCATCACATGAAAAACAATAAAATGCAATGCCAAACTTCTAATAAAGTTGGACTGATTGATTAATTTTTTTTTTTTTTACAGGTTAACCTTTTATCGGTTATTTAAAACCAGAAAAAATTTTTAGATTGCAAGAATTTGGGGGAGAGATAATAATGATTTACTGATCGAAGTCCTACTAATTAATCTATAACTGGGGGGAGAAGGAGAAGTGGATTTATACCTCTCTCAAGGGTATTTGCATGAATATAACAAACCCAACTCAAATTAGAACTCAACTTTCCAATTTCCAAATCCAAACCATTACCTGTTATACTACCTGTAAATCTAAGCTTACAGCACCTGCTATTCCCAAGTGGTCACCCATCTAGGTACTGATCAAACTCAATTGCTTAACTTTGGTGATCATATGAGAACCAATGATTCAACATGATATGGCCATAAAGTTCTAATAATGTTGAAAGAACAACATAGCAAGTTTAAAATATTAATTTATGATGAATGACATTGATAGGCCAGAGCTTCAAATATAACCAAGTTTAGTATAACTAAAAGTAGAAGAGAAGAAATGAATATTTTAATCCTCCAATACTTACTAGCTACTTGATATGACTGTTCTTTGCTTATGGTGATTGCTGCACTTACATATTTCTGACGATTCTGGAGCAGATTTTCAATTAAATCCAACTTGTCAAATCCCAGAAATTCAAAAAGCTAAAATTTAAAAAAATTTATTGTTTTTTAAACTTCAATTTCACCAATTTGAAACTAAATCTGAAACTAAATAATTGACAAAGAAAACAAAATTATAAGAAACTCATAAAATTATAATTATATTGAATACAAACAAATCTTGGTTCCAATCTTATTGGGAATGACTGCAAAATAGTTTCACCTCCCCAATTTATAGACAGAAGCACACAAATGCATGCTGGGATTTCTTCCTAGCCAAAAAGATAGGCCACTTGTTGGTGTCATCTGACTTAGTCCTGGTCTGTCTTGTCTTGAAGTCAGAACACTATGTTGACTTATCCAAATTTACTCTTGGGTGTCAAGCCCAATTCATATTTCATGAACTTCTTGCCATATTACTGTTTCTTTGTTTTATTACTGTTAATTTGCATTGCATATATTGTTTGCCTGCTTTATATTATTTTTGGCTATGTTCTCATCTTTTTCTTGTTTATTGCAAATTTTGTCAAATCTGTATTTACATTTAACCATGACTACCGACTCTACAAAAAAACAAAATCTTTTTTAAAAGTTCATTTGTTTTTGGGGTTTTTTTTTTCAACATAAACAAGATGGCAACAGAGGATGGCTGATAATATACCAAGTGGATAGGTTTATTCTAGCCAATACTAAATATACAGAAGATACAATTCACCATCACTCATGTAATTCAGGTAATTCCAATTTATACAGCAATCTTCCCCAAGTCTGTTTGCTCTGAATGTCTTGAGAGGGTAATAAAGAATGATTGCTAATATACCAAATGGATGAGTTTATTCTAGCAATGTCAGATCCACAGAAGATACCATTCACCACCACCACCCATGTAAGTCAGGTAATTCACTATTTATATAGAGAGATGTTCCTCAAATCCATCCCTGCTCACAGATTGTTATACAGCTCAAGAAGGCTGCAGAACAGATTGGCTGAAACATTGTAGTAACAACATCAACAAGAAGTTGGAGTTCAATTGTCAGAACAAATCTTGAAATCTTAAGTCTATCAAAAATATTTTAGAAAAGAATCTTAATGAGACAAATATCAAAAGAGTGAAATAATAATAATAATAATAAGGGCCCTGATACTACAACAGGCATGACTATCATGGCTTCTGATAGCCATTGATTGGACATGTTAACATTTACGTTTTATTTTGGTGAATTAAAATAGGCTACATTATGTAGCACAGATTTTCTTGTAGTTGCCTGACTTTAAACATTTGAGGGATGACACATTGTGCATCTCTGTTTATGAATAATAGTGGAAGAGCATCATTGCCAAGTGTCAGGAAAGTTGTTTCTTTTTCTAAATTTGAAGGATGAAGCAGCAACACAACTTGACAGTCACATCTAGAAATATCCTCCTTTAGAGACTGCCTGAGCAGACTGGATTACCCAACTTGGAAGTATTTCTAACTTGTCCGCACCTGCAAGGTAATGCACTGCTTTTATCAAAAGCAGACATCATATCATGCACATTTGGCTGTGATGTATGTGCCTGGTATACCCTTATCAGACTAGATGTTATGATGGGTACATTGAGCTTTGTATATTTGTACCCCAGCATTATTTCGTAACCATACTGCTTTCACTCAATAATACATATGAAAAAAAGCAAAATCAAATAATAAAAAATATTACAGACTATATTGTATGAATTCATGAATTTGAGTAGTGAATCAAGGGACCTGAAATTTTACTCAAACAATAAAAATATTCAAAGATTTTCAGACTACTGAATTATTCTTTTGTCTTGTATGATGTCCCTGTTCTTACATTTTAGCTAATCAATTCAACAACCTCCTCCTTTTATGGTTCTTCACAATTTCCTGTCCTTTGTAGATTTTAGTAAATTTTGTCTTTTCACTCTGCTAATCCCTGTTCTGCCAACAATTTACACAAGCTTGTTAAGTAGCTCATGAGATACTTTCCTCTGTCTCTCTTGCCTACAATATGTCAGTGTCAAATTTTCTAAGCCCTCTTTTCTCATTATGTGCCCTAGAATATGCCCTTTTCTTCATCTGTAAGGATATTTATTATTCACTACCACATAGAAGGACTGACATTACATAACAGTTAAGTACTCTTATTTGTTTCTAATAAAATTTTCCTGTTTCTTAATACTTTGCTTAGCTTTTAGAAGACATCTTTCACTAACCCAATGTGCCTTTGGATTTTGGTCTTGCACTTTCCATCCACTGTTAAAACACTTCCTAGATATTTGAATTTTTGTACTTGATTTTGGTATCTACAATTTATAATTCATATGTTAAGCTTTTCTTTCTTTAGACGTAATATTTATGTGAAAACAGATGTGTTAAGTAGTGAAAAGTGAAAAATGGTAGCAAACAACACATTGTTGGAGTAACAAAAAAAAAAATCACAAGTTGAAGCATTTGTAAATTTCTTTGAATGATAATGACTTTAAAATTAGGGACAATAAAAACAATTTCAAAAAAGAGGAAAACTGACTTAAAAATGTTAGCCTACCTCATTTTGTAAAGCATCATCAGTTTTGGTTGAAGATAGAAAATCAAAAAGGGTTGAACAAAGATTAGCTACATTCATTCCAAGACAGTTATTTTCATCTGGAAAATGTTTTTTAACTTCAGCAATCAAAGCAGATGAATCTGATGTACTATCAGATTTGGAATCAGCTCTACCATCCGGTGTCCTCAAAGATCTCTGCTCACGATCGCCTTGGTATTTTAAGGACAATTCACTTGGTTCCATTTCATCATCAGACTCTGAACTTGAGTAACTCATTTCCATAGAAACTATCGGTTCAGAAAAAAATTTCATATTTTTCCCAAATTCCAGAGCACCAGAATCGGATTTTTTTCTGAAAGAACAGCTTTCACTTAATTCATCTACAATATAATCTGGAAGCCAATTGACAATTCTGGAAACAATGTGACAAGCTCTTGAAGCTGAAGAGGCAGGAAAAGGTCCAAATATGCTACGTAATTTTATGGTTTCAGCATGCCCAACCATTTCCACTCCAAGAAACACTTGAAACAAGAAATAAGCTGCACTTTCAACTGTTTCTATACTTGCTTCCTGGCCAACTGTTAAAGAAAAGGAGATTCAGTTCATAATAAATAATATTATCTACAACTTAAAACATAATTTAAAAAAAAAAATATTTTTATAAGCAGAATTCATAAACATAAATGACAGCTTCTATCAGAATTTCTGTGATAAAGAATTATCAGAACATTTTGGCCATTGTGCCATCCAGCCATCATCAGGTGCATGACAATCTGGGTAACTTACAGGGAATTTCAAACTGAATCCTCGATTTAATCTACAGGGGTAGATTGTTCTCATTCCAAATCCCATATCTCATCTAGTTCTTACTTTAGTACTGCTCTGTGATTGCTCAATTTCCATTGTGCACAAATACACACCATCCAGCAGTACTAAAGAATTACTCCTAGATATGGGCAATTGAACAAGAACAATCTACCCCTGTAGATTAAAAAAGGTTCAGTTTGAAATTTCCTGTAGGTTACCTGGGTTGACATACACCTGATGAAGGCTGTAAGGCACAATGGCGGAAATGTTGTGGTAATAACAGCAAAGATGAAAACAATAGTCCAAATGTAAATGTAAATAAATAACATTGTTTATTGACTAATAACATCGATGTTATAATTAAATCTATTCACATTATTTCAGCAGTATTGGATAGGTTACAACTTGGAAAGTATTACTGATAGAGTTTTCAGTCTCACCATTAATTCATTTGTCAGACTGAAAACCTTATCAATAATACTTTCCAACATTATTTACATTATTTGGACTATTGTCCTCATCTTTGTCGCCATATTTATTACAATGTTTCAGCCGTGTACACCCCGGCCTTCTTCAGGTAGTTGGAATGTCGAACTGAACCCTGTATTTTGCTCACTGGGGTAGACTGTTCTAGTTCCACATGTCATGTTTAATGGATGTCAGTTATCAGTTATCTCCTGTTAATTTCCCTCTGAAAGTTCTCCACTGCCTTAACCGGGTATTGAACTCACACTCTTTGGATCCTGTCACTGGATCTAACCAATGGCTTTATCCCCTGTGTCATGTGTCCTTGAGAACTTTCAGAGGGAAATTAACAGGAGATAACTGACATCCATTAAACATGGTATGTGGAACTAGAACAGTCTACCCCAGTAAGCGAAATAAAGGGTTCAGTTCGATATTCCAACCACCTGTAGGCCAGAGCGTACTACGGCCAAAACGTTGTAATAAATATGGCAACAAAGACGAGGACAATAGTCCAAATAATGTAAATAATGTACATAATACCTCATCTCAGAAATATAGACAAATACTTTCCAAGTATCAAGTATTCATTTTTGGATGATTCTTTTTTTTTATAACCTTATTGCTGCTTTTTATCACAATATTCTAAGTTGAATACTCTGTTAAAATAACATAAAATTGCAATAAAGCCATAATTTCCAAAGAGATTTTAACTCGCATACTATATCCATGAATGGACATGTTCACTCACAGAGGCCCTATACTTTGAGCAGCTATTAAGACTTAAACTCAACCCAGAGCTCAAGTGGAACTCATACATACTCATCCAGAAAGATTCTGGAAAAATTATCGTTTCCCTGTACCACTCCTGTAAGTTCACTTATCCTGCTATCCTCTACAAGAGACAGATCAGGCTAAAAATGGAGTACTGTTGCCATATACAGACAGGAACTGCACAGTATTCAATTTCCCATCTCAATAGAGTCCAAAAGTGTCTCTGGATCCTTATAGGTGAAAATTATTTTCCAACCTACAACCCCTTTCTCACAGACAAAACATCACAAGTGTCTCACTGCTCTCAGATGAACTATATTCCTTAGTTTCATCAGTTCTAACCTTCATGGATAAGACCCGTCATGCTACACACATTGTAGTGAATCACCTTCATTCTCTTTTTTTTTATTGGTGTGATGTAAGTTTCACTGGAGCAACTTCTTCCCACGAACTACTGCTTTGTGGAACCGACTCACAAGAGGATGCTTCCCCAATCACTACAATTTTAGATTGTTCAACTCTAGAGTTAACCATAATCTTCCACATATATCTACATAACCTGTGCCTCTTACTCTACAACCCTCTACCTCAAGTGGCCCTTGGGCCTTGTACATGGCAAACACCAGTGTAAAAAAGAAAAACAATACCTAAACCAATTCAGCAAAGTGGTTAGACAAAGCTCAAATCTATAATTGCATTGCTGACTCTTCCTTCTGATTCTTCAAACTATATTTGTTAATTAAAAAGCAACAATGAAAAAAAGAAAAAGAAAATTAAAAAGCAACAATAAAGAAAAAAAAGAAAAATGAATAAATAATATTTTCTCTCCAAGGCCCTGCATCCTTTTTTAATCTAAAATGCCATGTTTCTTCAGAATGTAGGTGATTATGGATGTCCACAGTTTTCTTTTCTTTAGGCCCTGTCAACTGTGCATTTGCAGGATTATTCTTAAGAAAAAACAGTAGAATGATTTCCTGTTGCCTTTTCCATAGTTTTGAATTCCAAGTTGTCCTCAACTGGTTTCTAATATAAGTTTAGGCTACAACCAAAGCATCACATTGACAATTGGCTGTAATGTAACTCAGCAGAACCTTTAAACATCTATGATTTTTAAGAAAAGAAAAAAAAAATTTCTTTTTTCATTTATCCTCACACAGTGTTACAGACACGGACATGAAAGTGCCCTTCACCAGCTAGTCACTAAGAAGGACTTGGTTCTAGAAATGTTGATATTTGAACTCAGAATGTTGTTAACAAATAGCATACATTTTCTACCACCAGATTTTTACTTTTTATTTTCCAGAATAAATATTGTATATTTGCTTTCACATTATATTGTATTTTTTTGTTAAAAAAAAATTGTAGATAGTATATTTAGAGAGATATGCACTAGAGATTTTTAAAAATAAAATAACAATAAATTAACTTCAAAATTACAATAAATTCCTCTTCTGATTCAAAACTTTAAAGAACACATAAAATATGATGAGATTATTTGTGCATAGATAAACTGGACCAATATGTGCATGTATAAAATACAATGTATATAAAATTTTAGAGATTCTTGATAAAATCCAAAGAAGAATCAGCACTATTGTTATTACTGGCATCTCGGCTTGAGTCACTTTCTCACCATCATAATGTAGCTTCTTTGCTATGGTACCTAGACTTCATGAATTTAAACGCAGTACTAGATTGAAAGCAAAGTCTCATCAATCCATAGTTGAATTGGCTAGATATATCCATAAGTTCTATGCTAACAGCTTCTTTTCTCACACTACTCACTTCTGGGACTCTCTTCTGGATCCATGCTTTCTAGCCAAATTTGATCTTCAAAAATTCAAATGCAATATCAATTGTTATCTACTGTCTTCTTGATTACACTTCTATTGTTCTCATTCTTTAATAATGTTTCTCTCTTTTCTTATTCTTTCACACCCAGTGGCTTTATTGCCTTGCATGGCATGAAATGATTAAAGAAAAAAATATATTGTATATGTGTAACACTTCACAAGTCACATACCTAATTCTGAGGAGAGAGCCAAGAGGGATACTTTGACCTAAAGTTGAGTGTACAGATATTCAGATCCTAAGCAATGTCTTGATCCACACATAAATAATCTGGTCATCTTTTATTGATATTATACAAGTTTTTGTCTGAATTTCTGGAATGCAGAGTTATCATTATTTATAGTCAGACTCATGTTCTCATGTTTGTTGTTGTTATCAGACCACCACAAATGTTGTCCCCTCTACCCTTCTTGAGGTGACTGTTGATCTGGGTAACCATCAGGGAACTTCAAATTGAACCCTTTATTTCAAATTTTATGAATTTAAGTGCAGTACTAGATTGACAGCAAGATCTCATTTTATGGTTGAAATGGCTAGATGCAACTGTAAGTTCTATGCTAATAATTTCTTCTCGCACTTCTTGCTTGTGGAATTCTCTTCTGGTTTCTTGCTTCCCAGTTAACTTTGATCTTCAAAATTTCAATGCAATGTCAATCATTATCTTCTGTCTTCTTAAATTCCAACAGATGTGGCTGCACATAGTAAATGTAAACATGTCCTCAAAGGAGCTAAATTTTGTTTGCTGAGAGAATGAGGCAACATATTGCATCTAACAAATTTGGCTCTTGTGATTACTGGCACCTCTGTAATAATGTATTAAATAAAAGTACATTTTCTATTTCACCTCTCTTCAATCAGTTTGAGTTGTTAACATCTTCTGCTGATAAGGATGAAAGTTTCACCTGTAAATTATCTTTTAACTCTACTCAAGATCCCTATAAAGCTTGTGGAGCAGATGGTATACCTGTAGTCCTTAAGCAGCATGCTCCCAAACAGCTTCCTGTTCTCTCTAAACTGTAAATATAAATGCCTTGCTGCCTCTTGCTTTCCTGTTGGAAACCATCTGTTGTTCCAGTTTCTAAGAAATCAAGTGTAGTTAATTTAGTTTATCAGTCATTTGTGATAACTGAAATGGATTAAGGTGCTTGCTTTCTTCTACAGTTCTCCGCTCTACCAATTGAGCTATTGTTAGTGACTTCTTCCTTATTCTTTCATTCTCGCCTGTACACCGTCACGCCAATGAAAGGTCTATCTATCCCCCCTCACAGACTCGCTATTTATGTCTGCGTCAGGGGGAACTAATATTTGCATACGAGACTTAATTCTCGTTTGCACAAGACTTCCTATTTTATAAATTCAAGCAGGTTTGAATCCTTAGTTTTTTTCATTGTACATCTGCACACGAGATAGGAATTTCAGAATAATCCATTTCACTTTTAATGATGGTTGCGATCTTTCAACAGGACCTGACATGCCAAGCAAATTCGCTTGGCGGGAAGTGAGTCATTTCGTTCCTCACATCAAGTGAACCATCTGACCCTTCAAACTATCAGCCTATTAGTCTTCTACCTCTTTATTGTAAACTACTAGAGGCTCTAATCAACACTGAATTAGTTAAGTATCTCACATCACAGGGCCTTCTTTCAGATAAGCAATATGGCTTTTGTTCCTCCAGGTCAACTGCCAATGTATTAATGATTAAAAGAGTCTATCAAGCTTTAGATAAGAGTGGTGAAACTTGGGTTGTTGCTTTGGGCATCTTGAAAGCATTCGATAAGGTTAGGCATAATGGTTTTCTTCATGAATGAATTTTTGAACTGATTCAGTCTTATCAATTTGTGAAATGAAAGTTATCCTGAACAGTCACTCTTCTTTATCCATTTGTACTAATGCAGGTGTCCCCCAGGGCTCTATCCTTGGTTCTACTTTATTAACAACCTTCTAGGTGGCATTAGCTCTCAACTTGGTATCTATGCTGATGACACAATCATTTACTCCTGTCTTGATACTAAGTCTGATCAGCTCAATAAGGTCAAATTGGCAATTGATTTCAAAAACAACCTAGTCTGTTGTTAACTGGAGGCAAAGAATGGCTTGTTAATTTTAACAAAGCTGCTGTCTGTTAATCATCAGAGAGACCTCTTCCCGCCTTCTGTCAGCATGGCTAATGCTAATCCCCAAGAGAGTGACTCATTGCACCTCTTTGGACTAACATTCTCAGCTGACAAAGTTGAAAAACTATAGTGAATCAATTACTAGGACACTTAGTAAGAAAGTTGGCTCCGTGCCATGATAGACAATTTTTCTCTCCAGAATCTATCTTAGATATCTGTCTACCATACATCCATGCTTAGAACATTGCTGCCACATTTGGTCCAGTGCTCCTGTCGTAAATTTAGAGATTCTTGATAAAATCCAAAGAAGAATCAGCAAAGTTGTAAAGTTGCTTCCCTGTGCCTTTCCTGTAAATACTTTCATGGTAATTGTTCTCTTCACTATGGTATGTAGACTTTATGAATTTAAGTGCAGTACAAGATTGTCAACAAAGTCTCAACAATTTACAGTTGAATTGGTTAATGTAACCGTAAGTTCTATGCTAACAGTTTCTTTTCTTGCACTTCTAACTTGTGGAACTCTCTTCCAGCTCCATGCTTTCCAGCCAACTTTGATCTTCAAAAATTCAAATGCAATACCAATCATTATCTACCATCTTCCTGATTACTCTTCTATTGTTCACACTCCTTAGTAATTTTTCTGTTTTCAAATTCTTTCACACCCAGTAATCCTTTGTATCTTAGTGGCTTTACTGCTTTGCTTGGGGTAAATTCGATTAATTTAAAAAAAAAAGTGTTCTTTATTTTTTTTCCTCATATTCTCTCATACTCAGCAACCCCTTTCATCTTACCTTGCTTGAAAATTGAACTCTTTATTTAACCTACAAACGTATGACTGTTCTTGTTCTTCTGCCCATGTTTAGGGATATTGGTAGGATGAGAACAATCTACCCCCATAGATTAAATATAAGATTCAGTTAGAAATTCCCTGATGATTACTCAGATTGACAAACACCAGAAGAAGGCCAGAGGACACAATTGCTGAAACATTGTAACAACAACAAAGATAAGGTCATTAGTTCAACTGTTAATAGTGTAAATAACATTATACTAGTTATTGCATAAATTAAATATATTTGATGAATTCACTGCAAAACAATGAATATTCTATTTTATGAAATACTTAGGATTATCTCAATAAGATAATAATAGTCTGGGTGAAACTATACATGATTTGACATTTTTAGACATTTTGTGTCCAGATGAGAAGCTCTGCTAGAGGACTGGCCAGCTGAGCATCTTTTGCATTATTACTTAGCACCGTGTTGGTTTGGTTTGTTTTACAGTATATCAGCCTTAGTTAATGACTGCTGACAAGATTTTCATTGCTGGTAATATTTTTTTTTTTCAAAAGAAGTATTGCTGTTAATATTTTTTCAAAAATGTATTACTGGTAATAATCTATTGCTGATAATAATTTTTTCTTCAAAAATTTATGGCCGTTAATTATTTTCACAAAAATGTGTTGCTAGTATTAAAATATATTTTTACATTTTCATAGTTTTTTGACCCATGTTTGCCCATAGCTGGGACCCGAACAGGTGCTACCACCACAGGTCAGGGTGGACCTGGGAAGACCAGCAATTAAGAGGTGGTTCCATGCTCCTCAAAGCCTTCTGATCAGAGGCCTTGCTGTTGGGTGTAGTTTATCGTCATACCCAGGACGGGCTGTGTTTGCTAGATCAGTCACATCCAGTGATGACCTGATGGCTACCCTACCAGAATCAACTATCAGTTTGACCCACCATATGCAAACTGGAGATGACCCTGCAGCAGACCACGCAGCTGCTGAAAGGACATCATAAGCAGATCCATTATGGCATTGGACAATGTTCTGACGCTCTACCAAGTCCATGAGATTTGGAGAGACAAGGTGACTTTCATGGTCTGAGATTTACCAGCAGCACTCACATTCTTGCACATCATACATACCAAGAAAGAAAAGACACTTCCTACAATCACTATACTTTATCCACTGAGTTGAATGACATCTTTCAAATAACATGTAATAGATATTATCCTGTTTATTTTTAGTAAATGTCAACCAATGCATTCAAGATTTACCAGACCTTGAAACTAGGATCCCTAAAGATATTTAAATGTCACTTTTGTGTATAGCAGGATGTTACAAGAAAAGATTGTTCACAGGGGAGGAAATATTTAATAATATTAGTTTTTATTTTCAAGAATATGAACATTTTTGAAAGAAATAGATTGTGGTAATTTTAAAATTCCACTGGATACCAGATATTTTTTATTTTCAATTTCTCCCCTTTTTATATATATTTAATTGGTTAACTCCCCAAATTACCCTGTTAATTAATTTTGTGTTCTTGTTACTGCAAATTGATTTTAATCTTTAAAACTATGTCTAATACAAATACCTATTATTGTACCATAGCGAAATAAGTATTTTCTTCATTTTCTGTGAAACAATTGTACATGTAACAAAAATCACAATAAATTTTGTAAAGATTATCAAAATTATTGTTTCTCTGAAATTCACATTTTTTATAAAGTATTTTCAAACTTTGTTGATATACAGTTTTGTAAAATGCTGAAATTGCTTTCTAATTGTATTATACAATTATATTTTCTGTTATCAATTGGCATAAACAAATTAAACTCATTATTTTTGCAATATTATCTAAAAATGTCTAATTTAAGGTAAATAAAGTGATTTTTGTGCATTTATTTATTTTATGGTATTTTTGTTCTTTCTTTGTACATTTGCATTTATGGAAATAAGTCAATAATTGTAAGATGCATCCTAATATTATATATAGTTGCTAATTAACTAATTACTGGACATTACTAACAAGCTCCTTGCTAAAAATGTTCTCAGTAATTGTTATTTAGTAGTAATTTAGGTCTCCACATGTTCACCAAGTCATGGACCCCGGTTGAATGGTTGCCAGGCCTGGTATAAGGATCGCCTTGCTTCTGACCCATTATTCAGGTTGATAATATTTTATTAAACTGCATGGTAATTTATTCCTCCTGCTTTTAATAATCAGTAATATTTAACACTTGATTATTTAATCAAGCAACATCAGCCAAAATTTACTCATTACAGAAAATACAAGTCACTCACCAATTTCCTTAGCTCTTTGAAACAGTTCTTTGTAAGCTTTTTCTAGTTCAGGTTTGTCAGCAGTAGCTTTTGCCTCAATCAAAGCAACCAATTTGGACCAAGTTTCTCCATTTTTCCGCTGATCTTCAGTTTTGTGCATACGTTTTGCACACAACTCATTCCTTCCTTCTGATAACACTTCTGTTGCACTCACATTTGAGAAAGCTCGCAACGCACTGGTTAGACGTGGTAAGCTCTCACAAACAGCTAAAGCCATGATCTAATAAGAGTAAAAATGAAATAAACATTTAAAATCAAACAGAAAGGATTAGGAAAGGTGGATGATGGGGTAATAAATCTGGAACCAAATTATATCTTAATTAGAATCTATCAATTATTGGAAAAGTTTTCAATATCTCTTTTATTGAATTTATTTCTACAAGAGTCACCTAAGGTTCATGAAAATATTTTGTAAATGCTATTCCCAAAATTCACTGAGAAAACAATTTTTATTTTTCAATTAAAATATTAGAATGAAATTATTTTTATGTAACAAAAAATGACTTTAAAAAGAATTACATATTTATATCAAGGGAGGTAACTATGAGATAATTAAAAAATAGCATCTGTTGTATAATGTGAAAATTCTGTAACCTCCCACCCACCTAAATGAATTTTTATAGTTATTTCATACAGATTAAAATTTGTCTCAAATAAAACAAATTGAGCTATTTTCTGTGGTATTCGTTCTGGTAAAAAATATTAAAAAGCTCAAAACATCTGCTTTTTTAACCAATGTCATTCACTGAATATTGTTGTCCAATGGGACATCTTCCCACACCGGCCTCAAGATATCACAATATTGTGCAATAACAACAAAGTACAGCTGATTTTAAAGAAAAAGTACACAGAGATCAAAATCAAATTTTAAAAGTAAACTGACTTATTTATAACGATTTATTTCAGAATAATTCCAATAAACGTCTACTTTTTAAAAGTATAATTTTAATTTCTTGTCAATTAAAAACCTTATTTATTTTTAAAAGTTTATTTGAACTTTACAAATAGTTGTTATAAATAAAAATGTTACGTTATTTGTGATTTGATTTTTGCTTCGATATTGAATTTTTTATGGATACTGTGTTTTTCTTTTTGACACGTTTGTTTTTTTTTTGTAGTTTAAATAAAATGTTTCATGACACTTAAATACACTTACACTACACTAAGATTTTCTTTTAAATAATTAAATTAAGAAAAAAAAAACAACTTTTAAAAATTTAAACTTTACTACTTTTTTCACAGATAAATCTGAGTACTGCAATTGTTTTTTACTTTTAAAAATTCATATTACTGATCATCGATTAAAATCTTTTTTCTGGAAAAACAAAAAAAAACTGAGTATTGTATTTAATTTTTCATTTTATTTTATTTTTATCATTTAAAAATTTTCATCTGCAGCTATTCATCTGGGGAAAAAAAATTATAAAATTTTCCGAGATGAACAGCTGCAGATGAAAATTTTCAAACCGTAAAGAAAGAAAAATAACATTTTGATTTGAACTATTTTAAAATTAACAGAAATTGAAAAAAGTGAAAATATAAAAAACTAAATATTTATAATTTTAAAAATTTTATGCAATTTTTTTTAAGTGTCGTTATGTTCACGACTTCGATATTTTTTGCGTAAAAAAAATGGACGATCGATTTTTAATTTAAATATTTTCACAAATTTTTATTTTACACTTACAGTTCATTATTTTTTTCACAGAAAAGAAGCAAGATATCTTGCATAGAGAAAAGATAATTTAGTTTTCTTTTACGATCAAAATTTAGTTATAAAATGACAATGTTATTATTTTCTTTAAAAAAAAATTAAATTAAATTTAGCAATTAATAATTTCAAAATTTAAAATGAGAAAAAAACTTGGACACCTTTTTCTTCGATGTTAATTTTAAATTGTTATGTTGAATGACCTACAAATAAATTGGTTTGTATTTTTCTTTTACAAATAAATAAGGACATTTGAAAATTGAAATAAATAAACTTTAAAAGAATTATTGAGCTTTTTTTGGTCGTACGATTTTTTAGAGAAAAAATAAAGTATAAACTCTAAAATTTAGAGGTGTATATACGATCTAATTGAATTTAAAATTTCTATATTTTACTTGGTGTTGAGCAAAAGAATTTAATTTTACAGTGTAATAAAATAGTTTCCTACCTAATTAAACATAAAAGTAAGATTAAGTGTCAAAGAATGTTTAATTACTTATTAGAGAAAAAAAGCTTCCTTATTCTGTCGACAAATAAAAATAATGTTAAAAAAAGACACATGTTGGTTGGTCCTATGAAGTCAATAAACGAAATAGCTATTAATTCTTTTTAAATGAATAATACTTCTTTTAGAATGAACTGATTTTAGTTTTTAACTGCAGTTTTTACATCTTCTTAAAGCATTTTTTATGCTTTCTGTTTGTTTCGGAATGAGATGGGGAAAATATCAATAAAGAAAAAAGTAAAGTAAAATTAAGTATTTATGTTCAAATGATTACAACAAAATATACGAAACCTAAAATAAATCATGTAAATCTAAAAATTAAAACTTAAAAGGAAAAAGAAATTGAAAGTTTGGTAAACAAACAAATCACATCCAACGAGCAACTAAAAACTTTGAGAAAACTGAAAACGATTTTTCACTGCGACACAAAATTTAAATGTGAAAGTCTTCATTAAGAAGAAAACAAGATTTTAGGTTTTCTTTTTTTATCCAGAATAAATTATGAATTTAAGTGTACGATTTAAATTCATGACAGGTTTTAGAAGTATTTTATTTTCTTTAGTTTTTTAAACTAATATTTTGTTTTTGGTTGTTTGGGTTTTTTTTTTGGTTTTTTTTTACGAGGCAAATGGATTAATTTTTTTTTTAAAGACTTCGATATTCACAGGTGTGCAAGTTAAAATTTTCTTAAAATAAATAAAATTTCTATTCGTAATTTAAATTAACATTTAAGTAAGAGGTTTTTTTTTTGTTTTTGTTTTTTTAAGATTAAAAGCAAAACTTGTTAATTCTAGCTAGAAAAGCAGGTTCTATTTGCTGGGTCACTCAGTGAGTAGTAAAGTAAAAAAAATACTAATGATTTTCTTACTAGATTTTTAGAAAGATTAATTTACTTTAAAAAAGTTATAATTTTAAGCTGTGAACGATGAATTGACATTTGCTTTAAAAATATCCCCAGATTTTAAGAAATACCTTGTCGCAAATTTAATATTCTTTGCCGAAAAAACCGCTTTTCTTTGCTTTATTTATTATTTTATCTAAAACACTTGAATCAAATTTAAGCTCTTACCGATCTTTTTCGTGTTAATGGAAAGTAAATTTTCTTTTTAGAGGGAATTTACTTTAATCTTTTGTTTTAGTTCAGATTCTGGTTAATTTTTTAAAAAGTGATTTAAATCTTAAATCAATCATATCACTACAAAATCAAACAAAACGTATGGTAAATAAAACAAACGAAGATATTTTTAAACTAACAGACAACACAAAAAAACTTTCTTCAAAGAAGTGACAAGAAGAGTCTCGCTTCTTCGTGCAGGACACTTCGATCTACATCTACGATCGGATTGTGTATTAAAATGAACAATCTAAAATCTTATTAATTGTAAACTTGATCATATTCTTAGTATGACGCTGTTGATACTAAATAATTAAAATACTCACCGAAGTGAACGTCTTATTCTTTCTTTTTCTTTTTAATTCATACGTTCATTCCGGCAAGTGGCTTTCTTGTCACGCAGGTGCATGGATAAATAACCATGCTTTCCCGGTGAAGGAACAACATTAGTTCCATCTGAAAGATTTTCCGACAAAATAAAATTTCAAGTAAGGTTGTTGATTGATTGATTTTATTTAGCGGTATATTACCTTCTGTGAGTTATTTAATACTGAAATCTAAATATTTTGTGGCTTCAGCTAAATATATTTTGAACGTAATCGTTTGCTTTCAACTACAAATATTTTATGCTTTCAGGGAAAAAACATGTTTTTTCATAGTTTGTAGAGAATGTATTGTAGATGATAATTTAAAAAAAACGTACTGCTGCTAATTTCATTACAATTTTTTTTTTTGTATTGCTGGCAATTTTACTATAAAATGTATTGTTGGTAATATCTTTTTTCATATAAAAATATATTGCTGGTAATTTCACTACAGAAATATATATATTGTTTTTTATAAAAATGTAGTACTGGTACTTTTACTATGAAAATGTATTTTTATATTTTCCTAGTTTTTTGCTTTTTGTTTAGGAGTTCACTATTTGCCCATAGCTGGGACCCTAACAGGTGCTACTGTAGAGGACTCGGGGTCACCATATGTAGTGGTAACGTGTTAATATGAATGAACCATTTGTAGATGACTGTTTATGGCTGTGTGAATAACATGACGACACAATTTATTTTATATTTAACATAAAATACCACAAAACATGAAATACAAGAAGGAACAAAAATGGTTTTAAATAACATAACATTTGTATTTATTTTGTGTATTGATGTACATGTGTAGAAGTTAAAGTTCTGTTGGTGTTATATCCCTTAGACTATGAAATATTTTTATCTGGGCTCATAAAAGTTGAATTAATTACAAAGCTGAGAAATGCTGAATAAACTGTAGCTTTAGAAGAATGTTTCAAAGATAAAAGTTCTTGTTGCTTGTTTGGAAATGTTCTGTATGTTTGTAATGTAGGTTGGAAAAGTTTGTACGTACGTGCATGTGTGAATATGCTTTTAACGTCTGACCAAGACGAGAATCCTTAAGGTCACATCTTTGCAGGAAAAAAAAAGAGTAGAGAAGAGAAGGCAGCAAGCTTGTGTCTGCTATGTATAATTAATGTAATCATGTGACAGGCTCACAGAAAATGGCAGGAAAACTTGACTTGGTCACACACTGGAAAAATATTTGTATGTGGGTGGATTGCAATGCCCACTTGTGTGTTTATTGACCAATTAGAAGCTGATATTTCCTGAAAATATTTAATAAGCTGAGTAGGCTCTCTGATCCACTTTTTGCACAAAATTGTATAAAATTCAATATTGATAAGAAAGTGGTAGCATGATGCTACACTACCACCCCGGACCAGAGTGGACCGGGAAACAACAGTAATTAAGAAGTGATTCCATACTCCTCAAAACCTCTAATCTTCTAATTGGAGGCCTTGCTGCTGGATGTAGTTTATCTTCATACCCAGGACTGTCAAACAAAGCATTTACCATGACAACAGATATTCGCACTTAACCGATCCAAAGTGCCTGTAGAGTCTGGCCTGCTGCACTGCCATTTATGAGCAGTCCAAGATGCATGCCTGATGTTGAGGCTTTTTTTGAACATTGGTCATTTGCATATGAGGACAACTACTCACTTTTAAAAGGCAGTATATGATGATGATGAGGGGCAGAGAGAGAGAGAGAGAAATATTGGAAGTGGAAGCAAGTAGTCATGGCAGTTGGATTTTTTTTTGCAAAGACTGCTATTTGTTAACAAACTATTTCAGCAAAGATGAACAGCCAGTTCAATCTGAAGATTATTCCTGAATTTCATGGGACTGGAGCTGTGATTGACTGGATTGAGAAGATGGTATTGGTGTGCAACCTATCTGGGGTGAAGCAGCTTGATCATGTCATCCCTCTTTGCCTAACTGGGGGAGTGTTCGCAGTTTACAAACAACTGACCAAGGATGAGAAATCAGAAGCAGCCCAAATCAAGGAAGCACTAATCATCACTTTTTCCACTGATAGATTCACGGCATATGAGAAAGTTTGGGGCATGTGTGTTGTGTCCAGGTGAGACTGTAGATATATATTTGTCAGATATGCAGGAGTTGTTGGTACTTTTCAGAGGAATCCCAGACTGTGCAATGGCATGTGTATTCATGCGGGGGCTTCCCAGTCCCATGAAGAGGCACCTACAGTCCTCCTCCCAGGTGGATGATATGTTTCTCAAGGAGCTGTTGGCCCAAGCTCAGGTGCTTATAAAGGGTGAAGCTGCAGCACAGGCTGTGGCACAGGCTGCCCAGATTACTCAAACATCCCCGGGTGTGATCTCACCTGTTACATGCTATAAGTGCAATGGTTCCAATTACTTCACAAGGGACTGCATGTGGAGAGGACAGACCATTCATACAGGTTGTTATTAGTGCAACAAGACCAGTCACATGGTCAGAGATTGTCCGGGAAATGAAGTTCAGGATGAGATGTTGGCATTGGTCTATTCCCTAGGCAACAGGTGAACTAGGCACTACCTATCATCTCTGTCTACATTGAAGGCACACCAGGTTCAGCTCTCCTTGACTCTGGGGGCTCACATTCCATTCTGAGTACAAAGCTATGTCAGTCTTGGTCAAAGCACGACATGGTGCCAGAGTCACGCAGACCTGCTGTGGAAGCAGCATCGTTAGGATTCACACAGCAACCAGTAACACTGCCATGATCAATATGCTGGTTATGCAAGGAAAGACCCTGGATTTTGATTTATTGCTTGGCATCAATGGCATTAAGGTGCTTGGCAGCTTTCACATCATGCAGTCTAGAAGCGTGAAGTTTGAGGAAACATGGCTTGTTTGGCCCACCCAAGGGACGGATACCGCTGATGGATGTACTACAGATCAACAAACATGATCTGTAATTGACTATTGTGAACTAAACACCTATGTTGATGCATTCAAGTCTGCGTGGAAAAACTGTGAGAATGGAGACAGCAGGCCATGAATATATCCACTCTGGAGCTCAGGAAAGTGTACCTGCAGGTTCACATTAAGAGCACTCTGTGGCCATACCAGCCAGTTGTATTCAAAGGAAAGAGATATTGTCTAACCAGGTTGGGGTTCGGCCTGAATGTGGCATCCCTGATAATGTGGTTCAAGGGAGTGTTAGTGCAGGATGAGACAATAAAAAGAACAACATCGACATATATTGATAATAAATATATAAATGAGGATGTGGTGTTGGTATAATCCGTGAGGAAGTATTTCAAAGTGTACAGACTGACTAGCAAGTATCCAGAGAAGTTACAGGATGGTGCCAGAGTACTGGGACTAGAAGTTTGTGGGGAGGATGGTCAACTGCAATGACAACAAGAAAGTAGTATGATGAACAGTCCTATATGATGAGAAGAGGCATCTTTCTCATGTGTGGCAAACTGGTGGGACACTTTCCTGTATATGGATAGCTGCAAGTAGCGACAGGCTTCATCAAACATCAAGCCACTGCCATCATGCAGAACTGGGACGACAAAATCAGTGATGCTCCTCTGGGACATATAACAGATACACTTGTCTGGGTACAGCAACTACATCCTGCCCAGGAAGAGTGGTACAGGAACCTGAGGAAGCTGGATGTTCTGGTGGACATGAGTTCACTAGCTGTGGGAGTGACACTTTACAGTGAGGTGCTATCATTGAAGATGCATGTTTATTTTTGGCTGATAAAGAACACCCAACATATCAACATGACGGGGCTGGATGCCATGCTAAGAGGAATCAATCTCATGCTCAAGTGACATACTACAGTGTTATAGAGGAAAACAAACTCCCTCTGCATGTACCACTGATTGACCAATGCCCTTACAGGCAGGTCTCAGCTGAACACCAATGCTACAAGTGAGATGCTCATAAGGTACCAACTAGACATGCTGACCTTCCTTGTGAAGGAGTACAACATTTCAGTTGATGTGGCGCTATTAATATCTGACCAGAACCAGGTAGACTTACTGACTAGAGTTCCACAGAGGTGTCTCAACGATGTGCAGAAGATCAAACCTATACAGCCAGTGTGTGCTTTTGACGTGGATAACCTGAGCCATGCATATCTGACTGACGTTCATCAACACAGTGGGCACCCTGAAGTGGACATTATATTTTGCGCATAAGATTGACCTGTCCATGTTGAAAGTGGCAGTGAGGTTGGCCATTCTGAGTTGTAAGTAGTGTCAGTCTGTAGACCCAATACTGTTGCAATGGCAGAATGGAGGACTCTGTGTGTATGAAACATGGAACCAGCTAGGCATGGACATCACGCACTACAATGATTGTCACATTTTGACACTGATTGACTGCAGCCCCACACAGTTTTCAATCTGGTGACCATTGCTTCAACAAGACACTGCACATGTGATCTGGCAGTTGGAGTCAGTGTTTTTTGAACATTGCCTCCTAGCTGATCTCCTGGCCAATAATGATACTGTCTTATGCAGTAAGCAATTCAGACGGTTCATGGATGAATTCCAACCATGCTGCGCATACAAGCCATCCGGAAATGGTATCGTAGAGAGGTGTCATCGTACAGTAAAATAGACTGATGCACAGAAGTGTTACCCTATCATAGAGGTTATATATTGGTATAACGTCACACCCAAGGATGACGTGTCTGCCTGCCAATTTGTTGCATTCATACCAGATTCCATGAAAAGGAATTGATGTTGTGACCCTGCCTGGCACATAAAGAATATCAACCCAGTACAGAGTGGCAGATGCAGTACGGGTAAAAAATCGACAGGGACAATGCACATTGAAATTTAAAACAGGTCACATTACCAGGATAAACAGTCCACAGTCAGTGGTCATCAATGGCCCACCTTCACACGTGGGAGACATGCATCCACAACTCAGTTCAGGCCCACCAGTGGATGATGGTGGTGATGCATCATCAGCGAGTAATGAATGGTGAGAACCAGGCTCCAGTGCAGGCATCTGTGGTAGTCCCAACTGAGAGCGAGGAAGAGGTGGGACCGACCTTTATTGAGTCCCCTTATTCTGCAGATTTTGATTCAGATCCCAGCACATCTGATGAATTGTCCAGGGAGGAAGAAGCTCTTGTAAAGGAGTGCTAGGTGAAACAACCAACCCCCACCCCCACATCACCTATAATATAATACAATCAGGTGGATAGTGTAACAATAGATATTCACACTTAGCTGATCCAAAGCACCTGATGTGTCTGGCCTACCGGACTGCCATTTGCATATGAACCACCCACTTCAAAAGTCAGTATACAATGACGGTGAGAAGCAGACAGAGAGAGAGAGAGAGAGAAAAAATTGAAAGTGGAATGCAAGCAGACATGGCAGTTGAGAGATTTTTTTTTTTTTTTTGCAAAGACTGTGCTATTCATTAACATTTACTAAGCTTGAGTATAAGACAATGTATTTGGGGTACCAAGTTACAATTGAACTCACTATACCAATAACAGTCTGTAAGACTAAATGAATTATCATAAATATATACAACACTTAGTTATAAAAAATTTTATTTTACTACTTTTAAAAATGCTAGTCTTGAATAAATGTTTAAATGTCAAGGTTGTTTTTTTAGAACACACTTTTTTGGGAGAAGTGTATTTTTATGAAGGCCAAACAGCTTGTGTAAAAAATTGCTACACTTGTATACCTTTTTTTACTCAGTGGTTAAAACCTGCCAAAATCTGTAAAGGATCCAGTTCTAGTTTATGGAAAATTATTTTTTTCATGTATACTGACCAATGAGAGAGGTGGTCTCAAGCCCTAATAAGAACCTGAATAGGGACCTTGTGAGCCTAAATTTCTGAATAAATAGAGTTCAGGTCAGTAGATGAGGAGAAGACTTTTTGACAAGGAGATAAAGCAAATAAACATCAAGAAAGGCATTTGATATTAAGGTGAGTGCCTCAAGAAGGCTCAAGGTTACCATCCAGCTGCAGAGAGACTAGAGAATTTTGAACTTCAAGTGAAAATTCTCCTATGGAAAATTTTCCTGAGCACAAGCAGTGTGAATTTAAAAGGGACTTTTCAAACATTACTATATGTCCCAAAGATGCTTGTGGAGCAAGTAAAAGTAGGCATTTTCATTTTTTCTGAAATGAGGTTGCACCTTTGTTTTCTGCCTTCTTGAATTGTTTTCTCTTTTTGTCTTTTTCAAAATCTTTGTCTTTCCCCAAACTGTAATTTTTTTCCATTTTTTAATGGTAATCCATTTTATCAGAAATTGTTATCCTGCCTTAATAATTTTTGTGCAAATTTTGTATTTGTACTTTTTACGTACTTATGTAATAAATGTTTTTCCTTTAAAACTTTATGTAGTGGTTGAGTTTTATTTTGTAATTTGCACCTATTATGACTTGCTATTCCTAATTAGTTTTTGTGTTTGACACAGTGATGTAATGAATATGCATACACCTGGGTTCTCCCTAATAGTTTGATTGGCTTGTAATTTATGGAGGTACAGGATGCCTATTATGACTTGCTATTGCCTACCTACAATGAGGATCAGTCCATTATTAGTTTTGTCGGTTACAGTAGTCCAAACCACTTTGACTTTGAACAAATATATCCATTTCTGGAACATATTGATCCAGTTCCAGAAAGGGGTGAATATGAGGCCCGCTAACATTTCTGAAGGTTTATATCTGACAGTGAAACAATATGGACGACAGAACGAGGATAATAAACATCAGGAGTGAGCCAGAAGCTAATATGATTGGCTGTGTCAGGGGTGAGCCATAAATACAGACTGATATGGAGGCCGGATGCTGCAGGGGTGAGCATGGGATGCCTATTGGAAGTTTTAGTGCTGCGCCTATCATCGTTGTGGGGGTTGAAGCTGATGTGGGTTGTTGCCAGGATGATGATGGCTTGGTGGTTGTTGATGTTGAGTGATGCCAGGATGATCTTTGCCGTTGCCAACTACAATGAGGATCAGTCCATTAGCAGTTAAGTTACCATTGCCAGGGGTGCCAACTTGCGTTTGATTGTCCTAACTCGTCAAGTTACAGTGGAGCGTCCAAAACCACTTTGCTAAGGCTTTGAACAAATATATCCATTTCCAGCAAGAGAAATGGAACATATCTATAAAAAAAACTTAGATTTCTAAAAATGACTAGAAGTATATAAACTAGGTTTTATATTTTGCACGTGTTAAAAAAATGAATGACAAATGTGACCTGTTCCTTTGTGTAATTTTCCGAAATATTTTAACTTATAGTTGTATTTTGCACTTTGGTGTTTGTGTAATTTTAAATGTTTTCAGAATGGTAGAGGAAAAAGAAATATATATGAATTTTTTTAATAATTTTTTGAGATCAGGTTTTATATAACAAAATAGATATTTATTAATTAATGCAGTCAGAATAATAATTTACTGACTCAGCAGAGGAAGAGAACCCTGTTGTATCTTGCCTACCTGTATTGAACTCGCATCCTTCTGAATGCAGTAAACACGGTTTAAGTATGATGTGGGAAATATGGTTTGATTCAAGTGCTTGGATATACAAAAAGCTGTATGGGCTCTGAGACAGATAAATAGACAGGTCAATAGACAGTGGTGGGAAGGTGTCTAGTGTGGTAGATTGCAGTGTTGGAATTCATGAGTTGCAAATTCGAAATAGATTCCCTGTGTCAATCGCCATAAGAAAGAAAGTACTGGTGTTATTGTTACCAACCAAATTACAATTAATATATTTGCATTTTCCTGTAATTTCATTCTTTTTATCTAGTAATTCCTTTCAATTTTTTAAACTAAAATGGGAAATCATAGAAAATGTACCTCCAGGCAATATCAGTAGCAAGAAAGGTATTATAATCACAAAATGTCTTTCAAGAGAAAAAGATATGCTAACAATACTACCCTTTTTAAATATATATTGGAACATTAAATATCTGTAACATTAAATGGGAAATCATAAAAATCCACCTCCTGGCAATACTAATAGCAAAAGCTATTAATTAGTCACTTTCTGACAAAATCAAAACTTTTTTTATTGAAAATAAAGATAACAATACCCTTATGAAGTGAATACAAACTTAAAATTTAACTAACTTTTAATTTATGAAAAAACAGACAGAATTTAAAACAAATACGAAATTATTAATCTGCAACCTTTAACCATGTACACTTATTAAGTTATTAGAAATGTTATACTCTTCAAGTAACATGCATTCAAATAGAGCCAAGCATTTTTCTGTCAAATATTTGAATGCATTCTTGTATTCACTACTACATCCATACACCAGGTATAAATAAAAGAAAAACATATCAAGTAGCTAATCTCAATAGCAATGAAAGTAACAGTCTGAATTGAAATAGTAAGAGGAGAAATATTCTTGTGTCAAGTTTAATTCCTGCAATACTAAAACTGCCTTCAAAGAAGAAATTTGACAGAAAAAAAACTTTTGGAAAACACCTCAACAATTTCTGGAATATAAAAAAATTGGATTTTCACTTTATCTGTTATCTTCTTTTTTGCTTTTTTTTTCTTTTGTAGACAAGTGAATATATATATATATATATATATATATATATATATATATATATATATATATATATTATTACAAGGCCAAGTTCAACCTTCCAATAAATAACTTAAATAATAAAAAAATATGATAAAGCCAACCCTATGGCTGAGATACATAGATGACACCTTCATACTCTGGCCACACCAGGAAGAGGTCTAACTACTACTGGACCATGTGAATTCAATAAGATCATCAATACAGTTCACAGCAACAAACTCACATTCCTGGTTGTACAAATATCTCGAACAGAGCATGTGTTCAAGACATCTATATATCGCAAGCCTACATTCACCAGACAATACCTCAACTTCAACTTCCACCACACATACAGTGTAAAGAAAGATCATCCTCTGCTTACAACATCAACCAAAATTCATAAGTGGCAACCCAGAAACATATGAACTACGTAACAACTACCGCTGGGTACATGGCAGCAGCTCTGACAAACTGGGATAGAAGGGTAAAAGAGGATAACAACACTCAGAAAACAGATTTAGTCAGCCTACCCTATGTGAAGGGATTATTGGAGAAAATACAAAAGATCTGTGGTTCATATAACATCAGGACAACCTTCAAAAGTAGTTAGACACCTCTTCTGAGTAAGACCCTCCATATAAGAGAACATGACTAAGGACTGTATGTATGCCATCCTGTGCAGCTGTGGTAAGAAATATAAAGGAGAAACAGGCCACTCCCTTAAGGTAAGACTGCAAGCAGTAACACAAGGAGAAATAGAAAAATCAGGCATAGCTGACCACATATGGAGGGAAAAGGGAGATCACTGTCTCCTGTGGGATGAGGTTGAAATAATAGACATCACTGGAAAATATGAAAACTTAAGGAATCAGTACATATGCTAGGCCACAAAAATCTCATGAGCCAACCAAGCATAGAAATGAATATAATATGGGAACCAGTAATAAGGAGTGCTAGAGAAAAGCAATGAATAACAACAAAAAATTGCAATATAAGCTCTGGTAAAAAATACACAATAATAATAACAGAAAAATTGAAATATTATCTCTGGAAAAAAATGGCTGCTGAGTGTTTGTGAGTTCATAGACAAAGGCTTAGTAGGCAGTTGTTGGTTAATCCCTTCTATTGTGTGCATGGACAAGGCCTTAGTCAGCAGCTACTAGCTGTCTCTCTTGCTTTGTGTGAATGTGTGTGAATGCGTGTGTGTGTGTGTACACACATGTAGATCAAACTGGCCTCCAAAATTTTTGTGAGCATCAAGAAGTATGTTTCCATTTGTATATCAGTATGGGGATTCAAAATCTAAATTCACATACAGGTGTGAACTTTTTGAATACAAGGTTTTCATTGGTTAGAAAATAATTTCACACTGGCTGATGAAAATCTTTTCCTCAAATTTGTGGGAGTGGTGAAAGGAGTTATTATTGTTATTTTCTAAATGACCCAAAAATAACATGAGGTAGGTTGACAACTATGTCCATCAAGTATTTTGGCAGTATTTTCTCTTGTAATGATTGTTTATCCAACAAACTTTTTGATGGGATTTTATAGGTTGAAAGGTATATATATTCATATAAAACTATAAAAAAAAACAACTCCCAACAAACTACATAAAACCTTTAATATTGTCGCTGTGTGTCCAATCACCACTCCCACCTTTTCTTAAACATTTTCGCTCACACAATCGTCTCTTTTACGTGTGGGAACGTAACAATGGCCTCAAATTCCTAGTTGACACTGGTGCAGCCATCAGCGTGATACCACCCACCAACAGATCCGCCTTGAAACCCACCTCATTCCAACTTCGAGCGGCAAATGGCTCCACCATAGAAACCTATGGGACCAAGGATCTTACCTTAAACATCAACCTCAGGCGCGACTTCAAGTGGTCATTCACTGTAGCTGATGTCAAGACACCCTTGCTCGGTGCCGACTTCTTGGCACATTACAACCTGGCTGTCCATATGAAGACGAGGACCCTGTCCGACAACACGACATCCATCAAGATCACAGGGATCCCTTCGAGCTTCAACACAACTAGGATCAGCGTGGCAACACAGCACAACCCACACTACGTAGAAATCCTGCGCCGGTACAAGCACCTCACGCAACCCATCAAACCAACTGATGCAGGCGACCATCAGACCCAACACCATATAAAGACCACCGGACAACCAGCTTATTCACGGCCACGACGACTCCCTCCACACAAATTAGCATATGCCAAGAAAGTGTTTGAGGAGATGCTGGCTGACAATATCATCCGACCCTCAGGCAGCCCATATGCTTCACCACTGCATCTGGTACCCAAATCTGACGGGGATTTCAGGATCTGCGTGGATTACCGGAAACTCAATGCATCCACAGTGCCCGACCGGTATCCTGTTCCGCATATCCACGAGTTTGCCTCAGGTCTACAGGAGGCCCGCATTTTCTCAAAAATCGACCTGACCAAAGCCTACTACCAAGTTCCAGTTGCTCCGGAGGACATCCCAAAAGACAGCAGTCACAACCCCTTTGGACTGTTTGAATTCCTAAAAATGCCTTTTCGGACTCATAGCAACGCAGCCCAGACGTTCCAGAGGCTGATGGACGAAGTTCTGCGTGGACTACCATACATCTACGCATACATTGATGACATCCTAGTGGCTAGCAGAGATGCTGATCTCCACAAACAACACCTGGAGGAAGTGTTCTGCCGTCTAACACATTACGACCTCCGAATCAACCCAGACAAATGCGAATTCGCACAACACATAGACTTCCTCGGACACCACACAGACGCTCAGGGAATCACTCCACTTCCCGATAAGATAAAAGCCATACAGGATTTCCCGATGCCCACATCGATAAAGCAACTGCGATGCTTCTTGGGGATGGTAAATTTTTACCGCAGGTTTATCCCCGGATGCTCAAAACTCCTTACCCCACTGACAAATCTCCTCCAGAGAAAAAACAAAGCCATCACCCTGGAGGGCGACCAGGAAAAATCATTCCAAGCAGCAAAAACTTTTTAGCTAACTTTATGAAGTTAGCACATCTTAACGAAGACACCCGGACTCAGATATATCTAACAACAGATGCCTCAGGCACTGGAGTTGGAGCTGTGTTAGAACAGGAGTTTGACAACCAACGCAAACCCATCGCATTCTTCTCGCCTAAATTATCACCAGCCCAGTCCAGATACAGCACCTTCTCGAAAGAACTTTTGGCTATATACCTCGCCATCAAACACTTCCGACATCTACTGGAAGGCCGGAATTTCACCGTTTCAACCACAAACCCTTGACAACTTCCCTGTCGAACAATTCGGTCAAATATACGGCTCGCGAGATCAGGCGTCTGGACGATATCTCACAGTTCACATCCGATATTCGTTATGTCAAAGGAAAAGACAACTCTGTCGCCGATGCCCTATCCAGATTTGATGTCAACACAGTGGAAGACAGCCCACTCAGCCAGGACCTGATAGCAGAGGCCCAGGAATCCGACGCAAACCCTCCCTGAAGTCCTAGCCAACACGCCCCCTGCAACTGAAAGAATTTCCGCACCTTTCAGCAACAAAATATTGTACTCACGATACAAAAACTGGATCACCCAGACCCTATATACCTCCGGCACACAGAAGGCAAATTTTCAACCACCTCCATGGATTGTCACATCCCAGCAAGCGCGCTACGGTCAAACTCATTGCCGATCGTTTTGTGTGGCCCAACATGAATACTGACTTGGGTATCAACGTGCCTTAAGTGCCAGAAATGCAAGGTACACCGGCACACAAAATCCCCACCAGGCACATTCAGCAACCCTGACGCACGTTTCAGCCACATCCACACCGACATAGTGGGACCTCTCCCAATGTGCCAGAATTATCAGTACCTCCTCACAGTGGTTGACCGTTTCTCCAGATGGCCAGTAGCAGTACCCATCAGAGATACCTCGGCTAGCACGGTAGCAAAGACCATCCTTCAGGAGTGGATCGCAATTTTTGGCATAGCCAGCATCATCACCACAGACCGCGGCGCGCAGTTTCAGTCCTCACTCTTTCAGGAATTCACTCAACTGCTCGGCGTCAGACACATCAAGACCACCGCCTACCATCCCTGCGCCAACGGCCTTGTGGAAAGGTTCCACCGAACACTAAAGGCCTCTCTAACTACAAAACATCCCACCAGCAACTGGGTAGATGAGCTACCCTTAATCCTTTTGTCAATCCGCAACACACTCAAAGAAGACTTAGAATGCACTCCAGCCGAAATAGTTTTTGGTACAGCACTCTCTTTAGCCGGCCAATATTTTGATGACACCATACCCAACCTCACCACTGCAAGTCCTTTCACTCAGGAACTTCGCCATAAAATGGCCCAACTGAAGTATACACCACCCAGGCAATCATCACCAACTATCCACGTTCCACAACAGCTTCAGGACTGCGAGTTCATTTTCGTCCGAAATGACGCGGTAAAGAAACCACTAACACCAACATACCAGGGTCCATTCAAAGTTTTGAAATGCTCTGAGAAGCATCTCACCATTGATCGAGGAAGCCGGACAGACATCATCTCTATTGACAGAGTCAAACCAGCTTTTCTGGAAAAATCTCCACAGGAGACAGAACCCGTCTCAACACACCCAGAACCCTCACCTGCCTCAACAACCACGCAATCGCAACCGTCACAAACGAGGTCAGAGCCAATACCAGAAGCACCAACAACTCCAACCAGGCAGACCCGCCTTGGAAGGAAAGTCACCTTCCCTAAGAAGTACAAGACATATATTTACTTCTAATTGATAATGATCAATTATCCTGGGAGAGGGCCTTGTTGCAGTGTGTCCAATCACCGCTCCCACCTTTTCTTAAACAATCCCGCTGGTAGAGAAAGGTCACGACCCTTGTGTGCTAAAAATAGCAACAACATCCTTTCAAACTGACAGAAACACACAAAACTCAATTTTCACCACTAAACAAAAATAAAAGACCTTTAATTTTGAACCGAAATTAATTTAAATACAGTCAACAAATACCAAACACACTTTTGACTGTAATTTATACAGCCCAAAATTAATTATATTCATTTACTTGTTTAGCGTCACCGCTTCTCTTGTATGAACTGTCATATCTAGATGCCCGAGACTTCACAGCAGTTTTTCCTGAATCGCAACTTTGACGCGCCCAGTCAAGTCGACCGAGCCCAGCAGCTCACGGGACCCAGCATCAGCAGCAGCATTTGTTCAAACAGACCTTTTCAGGGCTAACTTCTGAAAGTCATTCGATCACCACTCTTCGAGGCTCCACTCGCTTCACTCTCTGCTACTGCCTTCCCTCTGAGACGCCAGCCCACTCCTGCAGCTTCCAGCACTCCTGCAGCTTCCAGCTCACTCCTGCAGCCTCCAGCTCACTCCTGCAGCCTCCAGCTCACTCCAGCAGCTCCAGCTCGCTCCTGCAGCTTCCAGCTCACTTCAGCAGCAGCTCGCTCCTACAGCTTCCTGCAGCTTCCTTCCAGCAATCTCCGGCTCACTCCTGTAGTGCTTCACTGACGTCCAGCGACCAGTTCCAGCCTCCGGATACCGTTCCCGAACAAACGACCTCTGTCGTCTTTCTATCCACCGTTCGCAAATAAAAAAACGGAACATCTGCATTTGTTATCCTTCTTTGCTATTGCCATCTCCTTGCCTTTGCGTCCCCTTTTTAGTTGTACGGCCAATTGGCACTCACACCTCTCGGCCCACTGCAACAATATATTTTGAAAATGAAAAAAGGAAAAAGAATCTTTTAGACTTCATAAAAAATCCCCACTAAAAATAACAATGCAAACTATAATAACCAACTTTTATCAGAAACTGAATACAAAATAACTTGTATAAGAAACCAGAATTTCCACTAAAAAGAAAAAATTTTCACCAATTAATGTGTACCCAAAATTATCATTGATCTACATATAACATCAGCCTGTACCCAAAACGACCACAGTTCAAAAGCTTTATCTTGCCTTAAATAGCCCTATAGTGGTTGATGAGCCATTAAGTAGAAACAAAGCCAAATTAAACTCCATTTTTGTTGTCTCTTTGTTGTTCTAGTTCTTCCTTCCATCTTGATAAGGGGTTATCACACATAATACTGTAAGCGATCTGGGATTGCAAAGGAAATGTTTGTCGCAGATTATTTCCACGTCGCCGAGAATAAATCACTAAGTTCAGACTCGAACATCGGGGACAGAAAGAAAATGCCGAAAACTCGATTCGCAAGTACTATTTCACAAATCACAATGCACGCAGTCAGTCAAAAAAATAACTCCCTCGGCAGTCAAAATCACCAACATTTTTCCCCCGATTCAAGAACACCAACTGCTTTTATCGGCCAAACATTGTTTTTTTCCATTCGTCGACAGCTGGAAGAGGATGTTCAGTAACTTGCATATTAACATACTTTTATAATGACTCCTGCGACGGACTTGTTTTTTAATTCAAATATTCCATTTTCAGCATGTCATGCGGAAGACGTGCCCTTTTGCTTGATAAGTAATTTTCTTTTTCACCACATTTTCTGTCGTAGAATACACGCGACGCGCTGTCGCTTGGTTTGACGAGGTAAGTTTCCGTTTTCTTCGCTATAAATACCTATATTGGACCTTACAGAACAGCGAAAACAAAATATTTCTTCTCTCTTTATAAGTATACCATTACAAACATTTACCATGGTAATAGTGAAAGAGTAGCAAGAGGCTTTCAATGATTTGTCAGTGGGAAAGAAGTTATATAGTGGAAAATAATTCATCATCCATGAGGCCAGATAGATACTTTTGAACTCTATCAAGGCTGGAAATTGAGGATTATGTTGCTCCAGCCCAATAAAATGAATTGGGGTTTGGAAGCAAACCAATAGCATATAAATAGAAAATTAATTCAGTAAATATACAAAAATAGAAAAGGGTGTAAGACAAAGATGTTTCTTCTCACCAAATTTATTCAACTATTACAGTGAGGTGATTCTCAGAGAATCAGGTATTCCTACCAGGATTCATTATTGGTGGCCACATTCTTAACAACGTTGGGATAGTGAAAGATGCCTTCCAAAATCTAAGCAAAGTACTAAGAAATAGGAAAATCTCATTTGAAACAAAGAAAAGAGTACTTAACTGTTAATTAATATCAGTCCTCCTATATGGCAGTGAATACTGGACAATCTTCTCACAGATGAAGAAAAGACTTGAGGCAACAGAAATATAGTTCTACAGAAAAATGCTGAGAATACCATGGACTGAACAATGACAAAGTTTTAAAGAAAATGAAAACAAAAAGAACATTTATACTTAACATCTAAAAAAGATAGTTGAAATTTCTGTGGCACATAATGAGAAAAGAGGGCTTAGGAAATTTGACACCCACAAGACATATTAAAGGCAAGAGGGACAGAAAAAAGCAGAAGAATCATGACAACAGCAGGACCAACAAGATGCAGATTAATTAATTAATACTTTATTAATACACTCAAAGATCAACTTGCAAAGATCACAGTAAAATATAAAACAACTTCTGAGATAAAAGTAAACCGTATGATCAGAATGATCAGCCATGATGACCTGTGCCTTAAATCATATAAAAGACACAAAAGTTCCTCCATGAAGGCTAGGAGTCTGAAAGGTTCAAGAATGTATCCAAGTAACTGAAAAATCATGAGTCCACTGTTAAATTCTTAAGTAGATGCTACTTAAAACCACCAAAATGTCCAGTATTTTGTGGAATCAACAAGTGATAGCTAGACTGCTAGGAGGGGGTTCAAGATGACCAATGACTTTGTGGTTAAGAGTTGTACAATTTTTAATGCTGTTTTGAGACTTTGTCTTTTTCTATGTACCACATCCTTTCAGGACATAGCTGATTTTACTAGGTCTACTGCTGATGTGCTAACGGTCATCGCTGAATACATATATCAGGCTCTTAATAATAATGGCAAGGCTTGAACTGTGGCTCTAGATATATCAAAGGCATTTGACAGGGTTTGGCATATTGGTCTTCTACATAAGCTTCAAGTCTATAGTATTACAGGACGATTGTTTGATTTAATCCAATCATTCCTGTCAAATCATGAAATGAAGGTCATTCTGAATGGGCTCCTTTCCATATCCTTTTACACAAACGCAGGTGTCCCCCAAAGCACTATCCTGGGTCCTACACTGACTGATCTTCATCAATGATTTTCCTGATGTCATCAGTTCCCAAGGAGGCATTTATGCAGATAACACTACTATTTGCTCTTGTTTCAATAGCAAATCTGTCAGAGCTAACAAAGCTAACTTGGCTGCTGCTCTTGAAAAGGACTGCCAATCAGTGGTTAACTGAGGCAGGAAATGGCTTGTAAATTTTAATGCATCCAAAACAAAAATGCTCTTATTTAACCACCATAGAGAAACTTTCCTGTCGGCCATCAGCTGATGCTAGACTCCAGGAGAGCAACACACTGTGCCTTCTTGGCTTCACGTTTTGAAGTAACTTGAAGTGGAATGACTACATTGAATCAATAGCTGCATCTACTGCAAGGAAAGTTGGGTTACTGTGTTATGTCAGAAGGTTTTTCTCAGTAGAGTCCATCTTGCACATTTACAAATCTACCATTCATTTGTGCATTGAATAATGTTGCCATATCTGGTCTGGTGCTCCTGCTGTTCACCTCAAGGTTCTTGACAAAATCCAAAGAATGATTTGCAATATAATCGATCCTGACTAGGCATCTCAACTTCAGTCAGTTTCTCACCAATGTGATGTGGCTTTCTTCTTTCTTTTCTACAAATATTTTTTTGGCAATTGCACTGGTGCCCCAATTTTGTGAATTTAAATGTGCTACCAGATTGGCATCTGTTGAAATAGTTAAATGTATCCACCACTTCTATTCCAACAGTTTCTTTTTGCTCACTTCCTGCCTGTGGAATGCCACTAGTACACAGGAGGTTACAGAGAGTGAAAGTGAGAGAAAAGACTGGATATAAAGGAGATTGAGGGAAGGGTAAGAGATCAGTGTCCAGAAAGAGAGAAATTGACAATCGGTGTTGTATTTAAATTTTTGAAGATTGCAGGTGTCAGGGAAGCAAGAAACCAGAAGGGAGTTCCAGAGGTGAGAAGTGTGAGAGAAGAAACTATTAGAATAGAACTGATGCTTGTATTTAGCTAGTTCAACAGTAAAACAGTGAGACCTACTTGCCAATCTAGTACCATCCTTAAAGTCATGCACCAAGGAGAAAAGCGCATCGAAACAATTGCCATGAAATATTTATTGAAAACACAGAGGGAAGTCACATCATGTAGGTGGGAAAGTGATAAGATGCCAAATATAATATCCATAAAAAAATACATAAATAAAAATTAAGTATACTGTCACTTTGTCATATCCATAAAAAATAAATAAAAATGAATTATAGTGCCAAAAATAATTATAATAAAATAATTATAAAAATTATAGTTATCATTAATTCACTCTTTTTAATTCAATGAGAATCAACCCCACTTTCTCCTTTACACACACAAACACATGACATCCTCTCTATCAGACAGGCAGTCAATACGTGGGTCAATAAACATTTTGGCTCTTTTCTTTTGTCAGGTCACAATGGTAACATTTGTCTCTTAACACTCATAACCAGAATTCAAGGTAAGAAAACTCCAGACATTTTATTTTCCAAGTAAATTAGCTGCACACTTGTTACACACATATATAAAAACATATGAGAAAAATCTGTATATGTTCCACTGGGCTTAGGGTGGAAAGATAAGTTATATGAGACTGGCTGCTGAAAAGTCAAAGCAAGACATGGTAAACTTAACTTTATTATTAAAAACTCCCCAGCTGGATCTGTGTTGCTCCCAGTATTCCCTAGTGGGACTGGATGTCCTTACAATCATCATCATAATCATCACTGATGTTGTTGAAACATTTTTAAAGTATTTTATTTTCTTTATTAATTTATTTCTAACTTTTCCAAATTACAATATAAATAATTACAAATCAAAGTTTATCTTGGTTACAGTCCAAGGGCAATAAATGACTCACTTTGGGAAATCAAACAGCTATTTTGGAGATTGTATTTGTATTGTTCATTCTCTCTGAGTTTTCCAGTACTTTCTCATGTATTATTATTTGTTTAAAGATCCTTGTAATGATCACTAATTGGTTTGTTTCTCAAAAGACTATTTTTCAGAACTATTTTCATTGGTTCTCCATTGATACACCCACCAGCATCAAATGAAATTTCCTGATATGGCTTCTGTATGAAGACAATGTTTGAATGATCTTGATCATTTTAGTTTAATTTCTGGCTCATATACTTTGCTAAAACAGGAAAGAAACATTACTAGTATGGAGAAAAAGTTATATTCTTCATGCTTTTAAGTCAAAGTTAGGAAATCAAGATAAGAATTGGGTTCCTCATATATTGAAACTGTTTAGCAAATTTGAGAAGATGGACAAGTTGCAGAAAGAATCAACTGGTATTTGGAATACTGAAGATTTGGAAAGAACTTAAAGATAATGCTAAAGGCTGCTAATTCTGCTTAGTTAACACTCAAGGTTTCAATGCAAAAAATAAATAAACTATCAAAATTTGCTGTCAAATATCTGACCAGTTGCTCA